GAGCGCGGACCACCAGTGTTAAATCGCTCGACTGGTCGTTGACGGTGGCAATAGTAAAGGGATTGAAGAGGAACTCGAATAAAATACTTGTCGGAGACAGGGGGTTGGTCGACGGCCGCGCCGAGCCGGGCAGGCTCATATACACATGGCTGCCAGGGTGCTTTCGGTACTTGTCCATCTTAGAAAATGGAATGGGCGCCGTCAGTCGGATGAGCTCGGTGCCCGGAATCGTCTCAATCCGGGCTTCCGTTGTTACCGTTTGGATCTTGCGGAAAGTCAGGTCGGCGATGAGCAACAACAAGGCAGCGGCAACGTAGTTGCTGGCATATCTAGCGTGGAATATCACCAGGACGGGAAGCGCAAACGCGACGGAAACGTGCGTTATGAAGAAGACGCGGTACGACCAGCGGCGCACAATGGACAATGCGGTCGTGGTGAGCAGTGTCATGCTGAAAATAGCAGCTAGGCCTAGGGCGACAACTGGCCGCAAGAGGCGCGGCCAGAAGTTGTCCAAGAAGGCAAAGAAGTTGAGGTAAAAGGTAGCGTGCAACAGCAGCATTGTATAGATGATGGTGCCCAGTACACGGTGCCATCGGTTGACCTGCTCATGCGACGTGCCGAAAATGGCCAGCACGGGGCTGACATAGCGCAAAGCCAACACGTACTGCAACGGCAGTTGGGAAACAGCAACGATGCCGAAACGCTTTGTGAGGTGCATGTAGTCTAGGGCTGTCAGTATGTCCCTTGGGTTTAAAATCATCACGATCGGCAAAACACACCTCGTCCGGTCTCGACAACACACAGCACCAGAAGGATGGCCATCCACGAACCGCCGCCCACCCATAAGTCACGCTGGCCAAGGTGCTGGCGAAAAATCACGACATCGTCTGATAGCCACCACTTGGCCCGACGGTACCATGATTCCCAGCTGCCACGGGTCGTCAGTCGGCGCGACTTGAGCGAGGGGGAGTCGGGGACGGCGTCGTAGCGGGCGTTGGACGACGATGATCCCGGTGAGCCTCGAGAGGAGCCACGTAGGCTCTGGCCATAGCGCATCCGCACAAAGGCCACAGTCCACAACGTGATGCGAACAAGTAGCATCACGACTATCGGTGACACGGAAAATAACGCGCCGTAGTGTCCATAACGATCAAGGACAAGGCGTCGCGCCTGGCGCTCCTCGGGGCTCAGCTCAAGGAACTCCCAAGGCCAAGCCATGTTTGCTGTCCCCACGGAAGGGGAAGGCGATGCGAAACGAGCTAGGCCTTACAAGGGAGGAAAACAAGACAGCTTAATAGTGTATCAGCTGCTCACACCCACACCGTGAGAAGATGAAAAAAAGGTGAAGCTGGTGGAAAGGTAATTTGTTGTTGTGTTTTTGTCTGCTTGCTGCGAACTGTCCACACACTTTCGCATATTCCGGTGGACGAACCTTTTGGGCAGAAAAGACTTTATAAACCTTATTGTTCTTGTCTCGTGCTCAATAGGCGGGAGCCTTCAAGTGTAAGGGTATTACCAAGAAGTCGTCGCCTCGGAAAAGAAGCCATCTTGCAACAAGATCCGAGCGGCTGGTGGCAGTGGCTGTCCTAGCTCGGATGGAGCTCCTTTTGTTCCTGGGTTGTTCCTGCCACCGAACAAAACGTCCGAATTGCTTGTGCCAAATCGGGTATCTCCCAGGGAGCTACGGCTGAAACGGATGATGATTGGCTGCGCTAGGCTCCTTCGCCCTGTTGCGCAAGGCCTGTTCAGTTAATTAATACAGGCTCGCGCCTGCCATTAGAAAAATACGTCGTGCCTTCCCTGATTTATAACGTGGACTTCGGTGTCCGACTCGGGCCAATGCTGGGAAGGAACTGTGGAAGTGCTGTCGCCAAACGTCTCCCCAAATCGGAATTGCTATCACAAAATAACAACTTGACATTCTCTAAATGCTGTGTCTTGAAGCACAGATCCAACAATCAGCCTGCCTTGACAACAATGAAAATGCACGCATATGCAGTAGAACTTGTCGTGGCACACCCGGGCGGTCCGCTATCGGCTGCGGATAAGCTGCGCTAGGTAGGTGCTCGCCAAAAATAACACTTTCTTAAAAGAAGCTCAAAGGCTTTTTTTTATCAGGCCGTTTTCTTCGGCACATGCCTTCTACTTTGTTCACTCTCACATCGATCCGTTTTCAAGCTTCATTGCTCGACTTACACCAAACTGCCACCTTCGCCACCGCCAGCCAAAATGCCGTCCAAGGAAGCTGTCCTCACGGCCAACGCTCCGGCCCCGTTGCCTGTCTTCTCTCAGGCTATCAAGCTGAATGGCATGGTCTACTGTTCTGGCCAGGTCGGCACTGATCCCAAGACCGGCCAGATGACCGAGGGCAGCGTCCAGGACCGGACAGTAAGTAGGGCCGGTGGACACTCCGACAGGATAGAGATAAGATAGACATGGCAAACATTGTGGGCGAGCAGAAGCTGACATGCCTTAGAGACAAGTTTTAAAAAATCTCAGCGCCGTCCTGGAAGCTGCCGGCACGAATCTGGACAATGTTGTCAAGGTCAACATCTTCCTTACGTCCATGGCCGATTTTGCCGCAGTTAACGAGATCTACGCTGAGTTCTTCAGCTCCGATCCTAAACCGGTGCGTTCCACTCGTTAGGCCATCGTCGCTCAATTTTATGAAAACAGATCTCTAACTGCTCTATACCCAGTGCCGCACGTGTGTTGCCGTTCACCAACTTCCCCTTGGAACGGATGTTGAGATCGAATGCACTGCAGCCTTGTAGGAGATAACTTCAATGACCAGCAATAACTCTGCTAATCAGGGCTGTGTTTGAGAGATGACAACCACAAGGGGTCAGTCTGCAGGCCAGGTGTATCGTCACTATCATGAATAAAAAAACACAAATAAATAGTCCACGACAGCCGGTCACAGCTGTAAAGCGGTACTTTGCTTGTGAATATATAACAAAATTAACCACAACGCAGCATAAATAGCTAAATGCACTATAACCGCCGACAGACACAAAACACAGGTCGCGGCCGTACCTATAATGCTCTGGAAAATATTCAATTAAATGAAGTGAGCTTTGCGGCTTGTTTCCATTACCTACCCGTAGTATTGAAATGCCGATTGTGCGCGAGTATGCTCTTGCAAGTCAGTTGTGCTGCAATGTGTAACTTACGACATACTGGAGTTTACGGAGTAATTACTGGCCGGTGGATACCTAGCAAGCTAATCCACTTTTCCTACCCCAGACCGCCCCCAATCTATTTATTCTAAGGCACCTAAAAGTAATACAGCAGCTAGCTTCCTGGCCAGCGTTACGAAGTATCACCAACATATCTCTCACCAGAGCGAGCCACGCGACCACCAACGACCACATCCCCCCAACAGGCGATGCGATGACACCCACAACGCAATTGTGCGCTGTCCGCGCCTCCATGCTTCTTCCAATCTTCAATGGCCGCGCACTCGCCACCGCTGGCCCCAGCAAGCCGTCGGGCATCATGCACTCTGTGGTAGCCGCCTACAGCAACAGATGCCATAGCAAGTACCATAGCACCTACCACAGCAGTGGCCTCCCGTTACGCCCAACTGCGACGACTCGCTCAGCCACTCCATACACCCTCACGCGGCCAACAGCTGCGTTCGCGACCCCCCTCGCCCGCCCGGTGTCCAGCTCTTCGACCTCCCAGTCCAACCCCAGCGCCGCCGCCGTCACGGCCCCGACCCTCACGCCTTCTGCGGCCAACCCTCCACATACCACGCGCCCGCCGCCGCTCATGTTGCCGGAACGGAAGCCCGAGTCATCGACTTTTAGCCATCTGTTGGCCACGGGCAAAGCCTACCTCGCCTTTTACAAGACGGGGCTGCGGTACCTATTTGCCAACACGAAACTCGTGCGCGGCATGGACGCCAACAACGACACCGCTGACGCCGTCAAGGCAGGCCACGCGACCCGGTCGGATCTCTTGCTGCGTCGCCGCTGGGGCCACGATATGCGTCGCCTGCCGCTCTTTGGCCTGCTGCTGCTGATCTGTGGGGAGTTTACGCCGTTTGTTGTGCTAGTGTTCCCGCATGTGGTGCCCTACCCTTGCCGGATCCCTAAGCAGGTCGAGCAACTGCAGCGCAAGGCGGAGTCCAGGCGGCAACATGCATTCGTGGCATATGGAGAAGAGACAGTGGCATCGGCGCCGACTGCAGAGTCAACGATACGAGGCCGTCATGCCACGGCTGCGAGAGACGTGCTCATTAGCCGCAGCTTGGGCCTGATTGCACCCTTCTGGGACCGCATTGGCCTTGTCAGCGGCGTGCCGGGACTGGCCCATCGTGCCGTTGAGCGTCATCTCGCCTTCCTGGCCGAAGACGACGCACTCCTTCGCCAGGCTGGCGGTGTGCTGGCATTGGAACCAGAGGAGGTGCTCTTGGCCAGCGCTGACCGCGGCCTCGACGTAGTAGGTCAGGACGAGGGCCGGCTGCGAGAGAGGCTGGTGCGGTGGCTACAACTTACACAGCCGCAGAACAATGACGTCGACGGCAACGTTGTACACGAACAGATGCTCACTCTGCTGACGAAGCGGCCAGAGGCGTGGCCGCCGAAGAAGGTGTAATCAGCTGTAGATTCTTGTCGCATAGACATATGTTATGTTCCTTGTATTATAGATTTTGTCACGCTTGTTTTACTCGTTTTTCATCTCCATGCGTACATCAAAAGGCATAGAAATATGAGCGACACTTGGGAGGCACATATTTGGATGGACAAAGGACAGGGGGGCATAATGCGGGTCTGGGGCTCCTTGTTATATATATCATCACACCGGAATGTGATGGGATAAAAACAACTCCATGGATGGTGCATGCACGGAACGGACTTTTCATCACTCATTTATGTATTCATTATCCCTTTGAGAATATCTTCACAATTTCATCCTCTGCATTACATCATCTGGTTCCTTGTGCAACGTATCTTCATCCATCTTCTCTGCGACTGGACGAATGCAAGGTCGCTTCACTGCCGTGGCGGGGCAAAATGAGCCATGAGAGCTTGGAGAGCCTGTTCATCGAGCCCTTGGGGGGCGGCAGTTTGGTACCCGGTTGGTACAGGTTGTGATGCAGTGAGACCGCGGGCATATGGAGCAGTTGTTGATGCGTACGCAGATGGTGCAGTGGTAGAGGACGCAGTTGATGCTCCAAGTGAACTCAGCAACGCGGCGAGCTGGGATTGTTGTGTAACATTGTTATGCGGCGCATACTGAGCCGCTGCTGGAGGCTGTCCATAAGTCGTCGCAGGAGAAGGGGCCACGGTAGGAGTGGCTTGCGTTGCCTGCATTGCACCAAGGAGCTGCGCCAGGGCGGTATTGTCAAGCTGGCCGACCAGTGAGGCCAAGTCGATACCATTTGTGGGTGCGGTGGTGGTAGCCGGGCTGACAGATGGGTACCCAGCTGCTTGCGAGGGTGCATATGGCTGGCCATGGCCAGGTGCGCCTTGGTAGCCTTGAGAGTAAGGCGCTTGGTGTGCATGATATTGTGGAGGTTGCTGGATCACCGCAGCGGATTTCGCTCTAAGGACAACATCGGCGGCAACGGATGGTGCAAGGTCTTGGTAGCCATCAAATCGCACGTTGCTAGCCCCGGCCTGGCGATTGAAGACCTGCAAAGGGATCTTGCCATTGGCCTGTTCCCGGCTGTTTAGATCAACGACGGCGATGACACCTTCCAAAATGTGTACTTGAATAATAGAGTCGCGTGGCGGCGTGTGTGAAGTCAAGAAGGTCACGTCCGTCGTCAGTCCGCGGTCCTTGAACGGCGCTTGTGCCCACTTGATGAACTCGCGGTCCAGCCCTTGTGCAACTAGGAACTGTACGTCGGGCACATTAGCACCGTACCGCGTCTTCAACAGATCCGAACTGCCACGGCCATTGCTGTTCCTGCTTCGGCTATATGGGCTTGGAGAGCGGCGAGCGCGGTATCCTCTACGGCCGTCATCATCGCCACTGTGTCGATAAGGCGACCTCGACCGGTCGCGGGATCGGTGGCTATTGTCGTCATGGCCCCCTCGTTCTGAGCCATATGGGCCGTTCCAACCATACCCTTGGCGAGTAGACGTGTCATGTCCGCCGTGCGAGTCAGAGTAGCGATCGCCTGTCGGGTGTCGGTTATTATCCTGGCTGCGGCCGTCATAACGATCTGCCTCTCGATTTCGGCCGCCTCTGTTTCTTGTCCGCTCAGGTGAACGATCTTTGCCGCCCCGCACGCGGTCACGTTCACGACCTTGTCCAGCATCCCGATCGCGACCCTTGTCTTTTGTTTGCAGTTTCGAGATTTCCAAGTCTATGGCTATGTTAACAAACCGCATTGAAAATTGCAAATAGGGCAGATGCTGCAACGTACGAATCTTCCGCCCACGGATCTCAGCGCCTTCAAGTTCTCTCATGGCCGCTGACGCCTCCGTCACAGAGTGGTATTGGACAAACCCATACGCCGATTTAATCGCAATCTGTGCTAGACGGCCATATCGGTGAAACTTCTCGAAAACGTCACGCTTGCTGACTCGCTCTTGCGACAGATTTCCTGTACCGTTGTTAGGCATTTTTCATCTTAATGACAACGAGGGCCCCAAGATCGAGACATTCAGGACATCCAGGACAACCCCGACAGTCAGGACCACATACCAACAAACATGCGCGAGCCTTCAGGAAATGCCTCCCATTTGCCCTCTGCAACATGTATCTTCTCTTCATTCAGAAACGCTTGATAGGCCCGGTCTACAGCGGCCTTTTCACGCGCATTATTCGCCTGTCGAGGAGCAGCCGGGGTCTGGCCCTGGGCAGCACGAGCAGCTTGACCGCGTCTGCCACCACCGCCGGCTGGGAGCTGTGGAGGGGCACCCAGGAGAGCTGCACCGCCAGTACTTCCAGGCACGGCTACACCGGGTGGCTTCGGGAGGTTAGGGTTGTTTTGGTGTCTCCCAGTCATACTAGCAGGACCAGTAGGAGGTCGTGGGAAGGGCTTGGAAGGACCTTTGGGTGCTCCAATGGGAGCCTGTGATGCACCTGCAGGCGGTTTAGCAGCATCGGCTGAAATAGCATCTATCATCTTGTCAAAATCTAATCCCGGGCCACTGCCATTCTCCGAGAAATGAGCCTTTTCGTCAGCGTCCACCGAAGTGGCCGATGTGGCTTGAGGCTGGAGAGAGGACGTAAACGACGACTCAGTAGGACAGCCTGGGAGAATTTCGCCTGGCTCTCCCGTGTCGAGCATAGCGATATCGTCAATGTAGGGAAGAGGAGACGGGGACCTGGCCACGGCAGGGACTGCGGAAGGAGAATCCTCGGCAACAACATCAACATCAGCGGCAGTCAAGTCAACATTAGGGGCATCGTCTGCCTCTCTGACATCCTCGGCGTCATTAATTTCATTGACATTGTCTGGAAGAAGCGATTCAGCATTCTTTGTCTCAGCCAGAGGCGAGGCGGAAGGAGGCGATGCATCAAGAGGACCAGCGGAGGCATAAGACGCATGTACGGCGTCAGCAGTACCTCTTTGGTCAGCATCAGGCTGCGGTCTCTCAGAAGTACCATGTGCAGCAGACTCAGTGTCGCCTGTGCCGAGTGCTGTTTCATCCGATGACGATGGCGGCGCCACTGCAGAGCTTTCATTGACCTCGGCCTCACCCTCACTGAGGCCGCCGGCAGCGCCAGCGTCTTCAGCATTGCCGCCACTGCTAGCATCACGGATGCTACAGTTAGGAGCCTCATGAGGTTCATCAACACCGTCGGCTTCGGTGTCATGTGTTGTATCGTTCACCTGAATAGTTTGGTTGTCCTCGGCAACGGCGACAGCAAATTCGGCCTCGGAAGAGGCGTCACCGTCGCTGTAAAGATCGCCACTGTCGTCTTCGGGCACGTCCTCGGTATCAACGACAGCATCGACTTCGGCAAGCGCGTCGTTGAGGATGACGTCGGAAGCTGGAGCTGCCCCGTCAGGAGTGGCTTCGGAAGTCGAGGACATTCTGAATGCGACGACGGTGTGACGACAGTGCGACGATCTGGTGGGAGAGGTGAACGGAACGATTGTCGAATGACTTCGCAAAGGGCCCAGAGGGCAGGACAAGTGCGGCAGGGGAGCCGCTTGCGAGAGAGCGCAAAACAGAGCTGGTGCTGCGCGGGCAAGACAAAACGTGATGAACAAGTGAGAAGGTGCGATTGTATTGGGCAATGTGGGCACTGGCTTCACCCAAAACTGTTCTTACGACGAAAGGGCGTTTGGTGCTTGCGAAATCACAGGACAGGTGATTCACAGCGGAAAGGGCAATGGGCGTGAGCCACAAGCGGGCAAGACGACGCGGTCTCTGTGTTACGCAAAGAGTAAGGAAAGAGCGGGTTCAAGCAGATGGATACCCAGGAAGGCAGGCGCGATGGCGGGTTCGTTTGCGAGCAAGGAAGGCGCGATGAAGCGGACGCTTCGATGCGCGAAATGGAAGGAGAGATGCAAAGAACGACTTGCGCTAATTACGGACTATGCGGAAAGAGTTGGAAGATAATAACGTGACTTAAGAAAGTCCAGAGAAGGACGGAATATGCGAGGTGGCGGAGACGGTGACGGTTCTCGTGAAGAAAGATGGCAGCGCGACAAAGGACAAGTCGCGATGGTCAAGTTTTTATCTTGTCATTTTACCGAGAAGGAAATCACGAGGGGGCTAAAAAAGAGGGGGAGACGCGGCCTGAGGACTGCTACCGGAAGAACCAGCCACAAATAATTACTATTGGACACTGCAAAGTGCCGCGTCTGTCGCTGTGACTCTCTAAACGGGTCCACTAATTTCAGCCCAAAACCTTCTACGGAGTAATTACTGCGACATATTCTGTACAGGCTTAACCACGCGTCCTGCAGCAAGAATATTTGAATTTTATCCAAATAGCCATATTCTAGTACACAGTTATGCTCAAACAAATAACTGGGACTCGCTACCGTCGCCACAATCTCAGCGGGTGTTCGCTGGTGCCGCCGGTGCCGCCGCCGCCGCCGCCGCCAGAGCTCTCTCAAAGCACTTGCGCAGCGCAGTCTCCTCCTCCAAGCCAACACTGACACGGATCAAGTCCGGGTCGACGCCCAAGCTGGCACACCAGTCCAGCTCCTGATAGTGTGCCAGAACGACATAGGGAGACGTCAGTGTGAAATTTGTACCTAGGGAAGGACCCTTGGCCGTTTCGACGGCATCGTAAAAGGCAATGGCCTGGGCCTTGGTCTGGAGGCTGAACGACAGCAAACCACCGTAGCCACCGATGCGGTGAGCAGCACCGGTGGACGCGGGGCCTTCCAACGCGGCACCGATGCGACAGGCCTCATAGTTGGCGCGGGTGGGGCCGTACTTGGGGTAGTTGAGCTGTTTGACCAGAGGGCTCGCGCGCAAAACATCACAGATGGCCTCGGCGTTGGCGTTGATTCGGTCAACGCGCGTGGCAAAGTCGCGGCTGTTGCGCTCCATGAAGATGGCATCTTCGGGCCAGTAGGAGTCGGGGTCATACTCGGCGGTGGCAGCCTCCTTTAGTTTGGCATAGATGGCCTTTTGATGACGGTTCAGGACAAGACTTCCACCCATGACGTTGCAATCGCCCGAGAAAATCTTGGTCAGGCTGCTGACCACAATGTCCGCAAAGGGCAGCACGTTGACATTGGCAAAAGTGCCTATGGTCTCGTCGACCACAACGCAAAAATCATACTCGTCGGCGAGCTTGCGGATGCGAACCAGGTTCGGGCACGTCAGCAGTGGGTTGCCAGGGAACTCGCAGAAGAGGCCAAGGAAGCGCTCGCCCTCCTTCAGACGCTTCTCGAGATCGTCGAGGTCGGCCTCGGATGCGTGGCCGTAAAATAGGCAGCCGGCGCCAAACTTTTCCAAAATTTTGAGTGTGTCCACATATGGGAACCCAAAGTTGATGCTTTTCAGGTGGGCATGGTCCGGGCGTGCACGCAACAGGAACCGGTGAGCGCTGAAGATGGCATTCATGCCGCAGGGAAACAGGTAGACATCGTCCTCCCGGACGTCCGCAACACCGCGGAATTTGACATCCACAGTGGCCGAGGCGGGCGTCGGCGGTGCGCGGCTTTGTTCGAGGTCAACATCGTTGTCGGCTGTCATAGCACCAGTGATGCGCCGTATTATGGCAGATTTGGCACGGTGGACGAACGACAGGTCAAGATTCCGCCCAAAACGCTCCTCAAGGAATCTTGCTGTCTCTTCCTCGTCTTCTTCGCCGGCGCCACTGTTTGGCGAAGCAGGGCGGCTGTTGCCGTGGCCGTTGCTGTTTCCATTAATAGCCGTGGCAGCTGGGTTGGTGGTGTTCTGTGACGCGGTGGGTGCAATGGGAGTGGCTAGAGTCTCGCTCTGCGACACAGGTCGGCGGTACCGTTTAGGACCACGGAATGGCTTCACGTCGGGCACCACTTGGGGCGCAGGGCTCGGGGCAGACGCAGTGGCCGACGGAGGCAATGTGACCGCACCAAATACAGGGCCGTCGTCTTCCACTCGTACCAACAGGCCCTCGCTGAACAGCTTGTGGCAGTATTCAGCACGGCGACTTGACACACCATCGCCGGAGTGTTGCCAATATTGCTTGGCAAAGGGGAATGCACTCGGTTGCATGGTAACGGCCGAGATAGTTGGCGCCAGTGTCTGGAACGATGCGCTTTCCGGCTTGGACGAATCAAGGGCCAGGTGGACGACATGGAGGCCGTCCAAGGACGAAGGCTCCGTGGCATGCTTCTCGATGAAAGCCTTGCACCGGGCGGCGGCCGCGCGGCTGGGGAAAAGAATGGCCGTCTGACCAGGCTGACCAAAACGTGCAACGATACTCGCGGCAAATGCCTTGATGAGGTTGTGGATGAAGAATCTGAACGGCGTCAACCAGCTGCCCAGACCACGCCCACAAATAAACCCGTCCTACAGTACACTGCTATGCGTTTCAACGTACCTCGGGTAGCCGGTGACCATCTTTGAAAGAACCCATGCCTCACCCTCCTCGTAGCCAACATTTGCTTTCCAAGTCGGCAAAGACACGCTCACGGCCTGATGCATGCAAGTCAACAAAGTGCCCCCAGAGCCTGTACTGGTTCATCACAAAATTCGTATCGGGGATTAAAATCAACAGACGTACATGAGCCGTGTCGGCCGGAATGGACTCGCCCAGCCCAATAAAAGTCATTGTTGAGTCAGATGCAAAAGCGAGAAGATGGTGCGCGTATACAGTAAATCTGGGACAAAATGATTCCAGGCGGCGAGCGTCTCGGAGAGGATCCAGTGTCGTCTAATTCTCCGGTAGGACGAATTGTGTTGTGTCAATGACGGTATGTGAGTTTGCCTGAGACACTTTGAAGGATGTTGGGTCACTACAGCAGTGAAATGGCGCCAGCGCGTGAGCGAAGGTGAGATTAGGCCAGAAACCGTTATCCACAAAAGGGGACAGTGTCGATAAAGGCCAAAAAAAAAGTACGAGGCAGTATTGGGCCCAAAAAGAAGACGAAACTTATTTTGCTAGGAACAAGCGCGGGTCGAATGGGGGAGAAGCGACTCATATGAGTCAACGCTTTCCAATGCGGGTATTCGTCGGGTGCATACTTTCTCGACAACAGCTTTTTTAACGTTGTCACAGATGATGACATTCATACTATGTTGCACCGGGCCAGCCATGGACAATCGCAAAAAACCTTTCCTCCCATAGCGGCATGGTCTACCGGTGGCTGCCCTTTCCTAGACACGGCGACAGGACTGAATGAAGCTAAAAAGAAAATAAGCTCCGCTACCGGCGATCGGAGGCCACTTCCACTCCACAACCACTCCCGGTTTACTGAATATCGCTGTAGTCGATCAGATAGGAACGGAAAAGCGAGGCCTGCATACGACACATATATTGTTCCAGTTGTCATCCGCCTGGTGTCGTAATTTTGTGTTGCTCTGCGGTGTTCATAAACAGTATCCCACGGATGACGAAAGGGCTTTGATTTCTTGATACGTATATTGTCCTCCCGCTTACCCAGTCAGCGCCATCCGCCACACTGAAGAATCTCACAGTCTGACGTGCCTGTATATTAATGCACGAGCATCCTCCCAAAGCTGTCGTCAAGCCGAGCTAATTATGTTACGTCGTACTCCGTTTGACATACTCCAACTCCCCTAACAGTGTAAATTGCTTGAAAAGACCCCGCCAAAGCCTGCTTGGATGCACCATGCAGGGTGCGAATGGAAGGAGAAACAAAATGTGATGACATGAATGCGGGGAGTGCAAGAATGCCCTGTGTGGGGGCCAAGGCTCTGTCAATTGTGAGTGCCCAAAGCACATCTTGGAACACTGGAAAAAGGTCAGACAAAGGATGCAGTGTAAACGATTGTGTGTCATTGGAAAACAATGATCATAAGCGGTCTCGATCCAATAAAAATGGTTGCCGCAGTTCGTCCGATGTTCAGCCACCCGAAAGTGTTGTTAAGGCAGTTTGCTCTGTTTGAAATATAAATAATACACTCAAAGAAACCCTCGGTCCTTACTTGGTCGTTAGAAAGTATGTAGGCGCAGAATGCTCGTGTGTGAAACAAAGAGTAGGCGGGAAAATAAAAATCCAAGTCGTGATCATGAACGAAAGTATCCAAAAACTAGGCACCAGATATAACCCAAGCCAGGGCTAAATGAACAATAAGACGTTCCAGAAACCGTAACATGTAGTCAAAAAGAAGTAGCACTTATAGAAACAAGAACAAAGCCGGGCGGTTTGCCTGTAAGGCACACTCCGACATGCAAAACAATGAAACCACGCCGGAGAGCAACTTAGCGGCGGTGCCGCCGACTGTGGCTGCGGCTTCCCACACAGCTGATACTGTCACTCGGCGCAACGCTGTCGTTATCGTCATCGTACAAGAACCGGTTATCGTCACCAAACTGGCTGTCATCGTCCCATTGGGGATAGCTACCACCAGCGCCGCTAGGAGGCAGGGGTATGTTACGCGCGGACATATAACTGCCAGAGCGGCTCATACCCTGCCGCACTGGAGCACTGCGGCTTGCGTTAGGCGGTGTCGATGGTAGCCGACTACCCCCACCGCCACTTCCACGGATGGAGCGGTGGCTGCGGGCACCGGACACGTAGTTGTCTGGTTCCGCACGATCTGCGGGTTCAATACCATGGTAGTCATAGGTGGAGCCACGGCGAGACGAAGAGAGTGCAAGCGGGGGGGCCCCTGCCGGCCCGTGCCGAGAGGATGAGGAGATGTAGCTTCCGCTGCCACGAATCTCGCCGTCTGAGATCATGAGCGGCGAGCGATCGAACGCCGCCTCACTGCGGGCTCGTGACCCTGAGCCGCCAACTGACCCACCACTCGGCCGGTACTCCCGCGACGAAGTGAGTCGACCGCGGCCGCTATCGTAGTTGTGCACATCTTCAACTTCGCGCGTCGCCTTCTGAGAACGTCCTCGCATGCCTCCGTCATGGCCACCATAGCGGCTTCCTGAGTACTCCTGGTACGAATCCGGGAAGGTGGACCGCCGTTGAAACGAAGGAATGGCTGTGGCATTGTCGAACTCGTGTCCATGCGAAGAAGCGCTGCGCGAACGAGAGCTGCTGTGCATGACAGAATAGGTAATAGCAGCGCCAGCGGCGGCGCCGACGGCGGCCATGCCGAGCATGCCCGCAGTGCTCATGTTCTTAAATGACTCCCGCGATGAGTAGCGGGACGAAGACGGACCCTCATAAGAAGCTCCGGATGTGGACGTGGCGCTCCGGCGTAACGTGGCCGTACGGCCGCGGCTTCCTTGGTAACGGCTTGAAGACGAGGCCGGGACAACATCGTGGTAGCTGTATTCGTAGGAGTTAGGCATCTCGCGAAACCGTGAGCCGCTGCCAGAGCGGGGACTGAAGAGCTCGGCTGAGGGTGTGTCGTAAGAATAATATAAGACGCGATTGGGGTCGTAGTCGTAGTCGTGTGCTGGGTGGTGCCTAGAAGGCGATCCACCGTAATAAGATGGATAGCTGTACGATGCTGGAAAATAGGCTACCTCCATGGTATTGCCGTCGAAATCGGTGACGCGAGCGCAGATGTCGCTCTGTTCAAGAGAAGCGGCGCCGGCGTTAGCGGTTCCGATTGCGGTGGCAGAATCGCTCTCGAAACTAGCCCGGGTTCCAATAACGGCAGAAGACCGGGGAAAGGCCTTCAAAGCAGCTGCATGGAAATCGTTGACGGCGTTGAGAGACGTGGCGGCGAGAACAAGGTGCGAAGTGCGTAGTGGCTTGTCTTTTGTCGGGACAACTTGGCGAATCTGGAAAACTGCCTCTTTGGACCCAACAGCACCATATGACAACGCTGGCTGAGTTACCGAGAGAATGGTAGGACTTGTTGGTTGTGGTTTTGAGGAAAACGACGGTAACAATAGCGAATGTGTTGACGAGGTTTGAGGAACAGCAGGCGGCGATGGGATATAGCGAATATCCAAAGGCTGAGTGATTGCGGAGTAAAAGGACGACGCCGAAGGCAGACTGCTAACCTCGACAACAGGCTGCATGAGAATGACGAGGGACGTCCCAAGATATGTAAGTGCGTATTAGGGGTTTGAGTGACCGAAAGGAAACCGCTGCTCCCGCCTGTCTTCTGACCAAGCGCTTGCTGGGGATCGACCAGGGGGTGTGGGTTTCGATTGGAAGAGTGTGGTAGCGGAAGAGCACAGGGCACAGGCAGAGTTCCCAGCGGCAAGGCGATAAAACCGCGCGTATCATCAGTTGAGTAAAAATGATAGTGTGGTTGAAGGAGGTGTGGATCGGCCTCTTGGCTCGGCCAGGTTCAAGGAGCAAAAGCGATGAGCTGGGCAACAGGCCAAAAGAGCGGTCTTTCAGCGGTCGACAGCAGGATCCCCAGGAAAAACGATAGTAAGGGCAGGAAACAAAACAACTGGTGCGTAAATGGTGCGCAAAAAGAAACGGGGCTGTTGTGGGTGAGCTGAGGCGAGAGGGCTGTGCAGGTCGATTGCTGGGGCGGCCTGTGGCTACTGGATGGTGGCCCTCGCGGTCTTTGCTGCTGAGTCCATTACGATGTCAATGCCACTTTCGGTTATGACCGTGTTGTTTTTCGGAAGAGAGTGCGAGAGTGTGACGGGCGGCGATGGCACGGCAGGGGCGAAAGCGACAAAATTGCGTATGCGATGTGATGAGACGACCGTGAAGTCACAGGGCGGTTTTGTGAGTGTCTGGCCCGGGTCAATTGCAAGAGTCTGAATGTGTTCCAGCAAGGAGTGTCGTCTCTTGTCGGCTTTCCTGTCGTTCTCAACTGTGTTTGTACCTTTGCCTCACGCATTGCCAGTCTCGTCTTTCTGATGCGTCTCTCTCACCAGCAGATGCCCGTCTCTTTATCTGCTTCTGTCCGACGTACCCAATATACTCTCTCCAGACCGTAACTTGCAGCGGGTCGATTGCCAGCGCATTGCGTTGTCACTGTGGCTCCCGGGCATTCACGCATGCCCAGCTATCTTGTCTCGATAGCCAGGTCATGACTGGCTCAGTCACTTTCCTTTGGGCGTCACGTCGGGTCGACATTATGCTGTTCAGTATTGCAGGGAGGCGACAGGATGATGTGGCGTGACTGTCTCTGGCCCTTTCTTGCTGGGTCGCCTCAGCACAGTCAATGCAGCCTGCCCTGAGGATCTGCTGGATGACGATAAAGCGCATGGATCAAAAAGGAAAGAAACTATCATCGACCGAGAGCATCCGGTCGCTCTACGCTGTGCCTCTCCACCAATCCACCAGCCTGCACAACTATCTGCTATGCACGAGACAAACGGCCGCGTGGTTTCCGGGCGGGCAGCCAATGCGACCACAGTTTACTGTTGTTTCGATCGCTCATGTACGAAGTACCAGTGACATCCATCGGCGTTCCAAGAAGCTTCCTTTTGTTGCCCTGACGAACCTGGGTCAACTTTGGCAGATTCTGCAGGGGTGCAGTAGTGAAGGCGTGGGAGTCGACGGGATAGAAACGACATAATTGGATGCACATTGGTGCACAAGAAACGGAGGGTGTGTGGGTGTAACCGGTTTTCGAAAGTGCGTGCAGCGTCTTCGAGAGACGTGAAATAACGAAGGCGAGAAAGAAGCGATGGAATACTGGAGAGTCAACCATCGAGGAAGCTCTTTCTCTTTTTGGCTATACTGGTCTGATACGTTTCGATGTTCCAAGGCCTTCCACGCTCCTTCCGTCTTTTCGCGACCGCGAGCGTTAAAAATGCAGCCCTCCACGCTCTTGTGTCCCGCCGTAACAGCAATATCTGGCATCTCACAGCAGGGCAGGAGCCATGCACAAACCCGCACAAATGCAGCCATTCGGGCAGCCAGTGACAAACGTACCACGTAACCGCCGGTGGCCGGGAGTAATGAAAAGTCTACAAACACCCTGCATCGAGCACATTTCGTAACTCGCGCATGCCGCATCTCAGTCCAGAACCTGCATGGGCACGCATCGCTCTGCCCGTGGCTGTCTCACAGGACATGCCCAACAGCCACCTGATCCTCCCCTTTTCCCCGTTTGGCACCCTGGCACCGTAAAACGCCAGGCACAAGGGCAAAACACACGAGCACAAATTCACTGAGTCAGGAATGCGAGAGGGCCCCGTGCTTCGATGTCGTCCGCTGCCGATTTGATTTCATGATAAGACACAAGAAGCCACGAGAGTTTGGGAAAGTTGACAACATCCAGCACGTGCACAACCAAGCCAGACCAGGCAGGCACGTTACAACAGCGATGCCTGGTCGCTCCTTCCTGTAAACGTACTTTCGAGTCTCCTTCCAGTCTCCTTCCGAGCCACAGGACGAAATGAAAAGGTCAACAACCGTTCCCCAAACTAGAAGTCTCTGTTTTGTGTTTTTGCTTTTGTTTTTGGAATGCTGCTGTTAGCACCACCTTTCCCGCCACTGCCGATCCAGACGGGCGCCAACAACGAAAGCGAACAAAAGGGACAAAGGCCGGGAGGGGAACTACTTGGCTGCTAACACCGCGGGCCGCCCGCCATTAGCTTCAACCACGAGCGCTTCTCGGTTCCAACTTTCGAAAGTCAGATAGATTTGCGTCGTCATCCCCGCACGCATCCTTTCCGCCCTAGACGAACCTTCGGTGACCCTGGCGGATAAGAACAAACAGTGGATTACGACGTAAGATACGGAGCAACTAAGAGACAGCACGATTGTGTGGGCGCGACAGGGGGCAAACGAGAGCAAAAGAAGGACATTCATCACAACATGGCCCCAGGCCAGGCCCCAGGCCAGGCCCTGACCCGGACCCAAACTGGCTCGACAGGTCCGGCCAGTGGGTGCTAGTGGGAACCAGTGAAGCCCAGAGGCAAAGAGAAGGACCGAACCATCTCCTCTTACATCCAGTCGCACGCCAATTGCCGTCAGCCCGGCGGAAGCAGGGGCCAAAATATATACACGTGGTTGGAATAAGGATACGTTTATTTCTCACAGTGCAGCTTGAGCTCTCTGACCCAGCCATGCTGGGTCAGGCCAGCCAGGCCTGGCCTCTCAGTCCCAGTAGCCCATGAGATAGTACCAGAGCGGAGGGAACATCTTCTGGATCACATAAAACACCCGTCGACCAATTAAATTTCAAAGGTGCAGTCTGCCCCCAGTTGTCTGCCCCTCCTCAGTCCTCTCTGCCCAACGGTCACAAAGCCACATTTTCAACCACAAGATTCGCCAACAAACGGCGAAACAAAACTACATACGACATACGACATACGATATACGACGTGCAGAAGAAGTACCAGACAGAGCAGAGCGGAAGTCAAACAGTGACACTGAGCTGATGGAGCTGGGAAGCGCTGCTCTGACCTATCAGAACAAGCCCTCATCTAGCTTGCCACTGTGGCTTTTGTTTTCTTGTTGGTCACTGTACGATTGGGAACTCTTATTTGTTAACCTTGATTGCTTTACGTGCATTTTTGCCCTGCTGAGAGCTTGGCAGGCAACTCCACAAAATGTGGCCGGTAATGCGAGATGCTTGACGTGCACTTTCACACTAGGTCGAGGAGTGGACGTGAAGAGGCCGCCGCGGGTGTCACTAGTGGACAATGACAGCTGGAGTGGATGAGAGCAGTAGTAGCCAACGCGAACGATGAACAACAGCTCGACATGGTTTGCTGATCCTAAAAGAGGGACGTCAGCGAATGCCAGGTCGAGGACATGAACAAACGCATTTTGTGACTTGTCATTTGTCTCCGCCTTACACATTGTGTGCCCGGTTTGACCTTTCTGCACTCCGTACATGACCACGGCGGTACGCATCACAGCATGAAACCAGCGGCGTCAATGGTGACGAGCAACTGCCGCCACACACGTGAATATTAACACTCAAGCACAAACGTCAGCTCTGGATGCCTTGCTCAGAAACGGGATACTCTTCGATACCTTCCAGTTCGCTCGTTCTGACATCGATATTTTGCATGTTCGCCCGAAATACCACAGTTCCGCAACTGGGCTACAAGACGCCGAAAGGTAAGACGTGGCATGTGCAACAAGAAACGGGTCTGATCTTTTTACTAGTCCTCTATAATTGCCATGCCATCGTGCACAATCCAACCAGGAGCAACGGCAGCAACAGCCACAGAAGGAGGGCCATCAATCGCCACGCTTACCATTCCTCTCCAGAACTAATACAACACGAGGCGAGGAGATTCTTGGGCAGGCGGCACGGGCCATCCTTGCTGTACACCAGTGATAGCAAGCTGTGGTGTAAAGTGCGTCTCTCCAAATTAGTTACCGGCAACAGTGGTCGACGTGGCAAGATGGCCGCAGTTCAACCAACCTCCTCCACATTTACGTCTTAATACATCACAGAAGACCAATATCTAAACTGCATCAACAAATGGCCCCAGCAGCGGTCCACAGCTCCCACAGATATTGACACTGCTCTCCAGACGAAGCTTCGGGATCTCACATAAAGGATTCCGTACCTAGTGGGGGCTAGCTGGTCGCGATAACGGAAAGATTCTTTTGTCCAGCAATCTCCCTTTTTGCAAGGGCTCGTATTTAGTAAAAGTTACGTGATTACTGACCTGTTCTGTCCATCCACTTGCGGGACAGAAGGAACTTGACAACAGCATATGTACGATGTAAGTCCAACGAAGGAGATCCAGAACTAACATCAAAGGCGCACCTTTGAAGCGGGGAGCGCGAGAGAGAAAATAATATAGACACAGTACGCGGACTGTTTGTTCTTCTTCCCGTTTTGTCACTGTGCATGGCCCTATCCACTATCATAGGCTGTTTTTGTTTTTGCGGTAGCCAGTGCAGGAGAGCGACTGAGGCGCCAAGCGAGGAAGAAGCCCAAGTAGGACTAGGCTAGCCAACAGGATCATGACAGCCAGTCAATAGCATACGAAATACATTGGAGAGCGAGCCTCCTATTTCAGCAACTCTGAAGCTGCAGATAATAATTACTAAAAGATGCCTGCTTCTCGACGAAACGTGTTGCCGGTTCGGGGCTCTCAAGAAACCGACCATCACGTTTCCGAGCTGCTTTATTCACGCGGAACGCAGAAGGAGCCAGAGGACCGCTAAAAGAAGGAAGGAAGGAATGAAAGGGCGCATTGTGGCTCATGTCGCCCGGCATGATGCAGGCAAAAATAGAAATCTTTTTTTCTGCACCACACAGCCAAGTAAAAAGGCTCCGTATGGCAGTCCCTGTTCCAAAGTCGAGAACCCAGGAATCAAGTAACAAGAATAACCTGTGAAGAGGAGATGCTGCATTGTCCGTTCTATACTGAGTAGTTCAGCAATACTATGTACATGCCAACCTTTCTTAGTTGCGGCGTTGGGGTGGCCAATTTTACTTGTCCTTACACAACAAAATCTCGGAAGAAACAGGACAGTTGAAAATAATAATTGCATTTGGTTCGTTGTCATTTCATTCTCTTTAGTATCTAACAATAAAATCTGCCTCACGCTCCTATTAAGCGTGCATCATGCCAAACAAAGCCGTTCCTAATCCCGGTCTCTTGCCCAGCCCTGAACCTTCTGGCCAAACGGAGAAGTTCGCCTTGCCCAAGTTCATTGGCGTTATCCAGCCAGCGAATGTGCAATGTTGACTCTAAGGGATGATTGTTGATGTAGTGTGCATCGTGTGTCGATATTGTCCAATGCTCGCTCGTTCCTAAGGCTCATCGTGTGATCACTTTGTCGTGCCTTCTCCCAGGTCTGGGAACGTTCCCGTTTGGATCTCCCTCTCAGCTGCAACATCCCCGAATAGGGTTATCCTTCGCCTCGCCTCGACACGCACCTTTCCCCTCAACCGCCCCGTTCGCTTTGTACCATAATTTCCCTTCGTCTCTTTGTCATCTCCGTCTCGTCCACCCCCCCCCCCCCCCCCCACCGGCTATCTGGTTAATGGTATAACGTGGCAACCGTGGCGGTAGCCAAACAGCAGCGGAAACCGCGCCGGGTGCCGAGACGACGGACAAGTCCCAATAAGGAAAGAAAGCTACCCAAAAGAGGAACAGCCACAAGAAAACAAAAGAAAATATGGAACAAGTTGAAGTGTCCCAAGATGAAGAACCCCTTGTAAATAGAGCGGCTTCCTTGGATCCGGTGTTGAACGCCCCATGTTTTGGTTGCAAAAACAGCAGACAGCGCAAAGCACAGATGTCGACCCAAACACCAGACAAGACCTCCAACCCAGGCAAAGTTGCTGCGATGTTGTATCACAAAACACCGCCCAGAACGGTCAAGCTGTCGTAACACAAACAGACGCACGCAAAACCAACAGCAACAACGACAAGCAAAATGCGACACTAGTTGAGAAAGAGAGAGATAGGGGAGGCACAACTGCCCCGTTGCGGAAAGGAGCCAGCTGGTCCCAGCCGGTCCCAGCCTGTGCCACTTCTATCCCCATGATGGTTTAAAGTGTTGTAGCCTCTCTCCCCAGAGGGTTTGTTGTAGATTATCACTGGTCTTCAAGCACAGGATCCCAAAACCATCCCCTCTGTGTTCACATATCGGTTTGTAAGAGATACGGGTCGTAAGAAATGACCAGACAGTGCGGTGGCCTTATATGATATCCCACGAGTCCTCGGCGGCATGGCAGAACTTGCTGCATGCAACACTCGCGGAAAGGCTGTAGTTGCTGATAGAAATTTTGTCGTCAACGTAAGCATCGGCAAAGTTGTCAGGCCCTTTGGCCATGGCACCGACAAACACGCAAATGCTCTCCTTGGGATCCAGGCTGTCGATGTAGCTGCGGACAGGTTGCACCTCGGCATCAAAGCTCAGCGTCACCTTGCGGCAGTTTGGAGGGAGGTGGTCTGTGATGGGGTTCTTAATCACACGAAGGAGCTTTTCCTGCGAGTTAGTAGACCGGATGGAAAGGCGGTGGAGCAGCTGCACCATGAGACCGGCGAAGCGCTTAAATGTACGTGGGATGCGGACAGTGGGGGAGACCTCGATCAGGACGTCCTTCGCCGTCAGGATGTAGATCTGGAGTTTGCCGGCTTTGTTGATAGGCGAGTCGAGGAGGGTCAAAAGGCACTGCGTCCAGGTCTCAGTACACGACGGTGCCTACCAAAGGGTTATAGGAATACGTCGGCGGCGCGCGGCCTTGCGACAGGAGAGGAAGAGTGGCAAACCTGGTGAGTGATGTCGGGCCGTGCGTCACTTATGTCTCGGTTCATCTTCCGCATGACGCCGATGTGCTCGTCGCTGTTGAGAAGTGAGTACTTCTCGTCGCGATGTGCGACGCCCATCCGATTAGCCGAGCCTCCCTGGGATGCGGCGCGGTAGGTTTCGAGGCTCGCATTGGCAAGCACTACAATCAGTCTCCGCGTGTCTTTGTCAGACGAAGCGACGGGGTGGTGCTGCTCCGCGACGAGCTGTGGCAAGGCCGGGGGCGGCAGAGACTGGGTTCCTGTCATTGTGGGCGGCGGTGGTTAGGAGATTGCTTCGAGAAAATGGTTGGCAGAACAGTTTAGCTGAGAAGGCAAGAGAGGGGGGCCTTCGCAGATATTTTGTTTGGGAGGGGGCCCAAAATACTCGGCCTCGTATGTGGCCGCCTTGGACGGGAGGTCTCGTGACTCCATGCGCGTCGCTGTGGTATCTTCCGCGTCAAGGAGTCAAGGATATGAAAGCCAACGAGACAGATGCAGCCGCAGCCAGCCAGCAATCAGAGCCACGGCCGACAAAGCAATTGTGAACGAAGCATGTGGACGACAAATCAAATGCTCGGGTCAAAGATTGCCATTTCCAGGGGTGTCCAACTTACTCTGTCTCTTGCCCGCACGGTGTTCCGGAGACGACATTGTGGTGGAATATTTGGACGAAAGAGTGCGAAGAGTTAAAATTGAGCACGACAATAGTAATAATAACCAAGAATAAATGCTCAGACGAGAGTCATATAAAAACAAAACTGCGTACGGAGAGGTTCCAAAAATAAGGGTAAGGACGACAGAGACAGAGAGAATAAAAGAGGACAGAGAGGGGAAGAGTAACCGTTGACGAGGGAAGGCGGGTCGTCGGGTTGGAAAAATTCGTTGAGTACTTTTACGACGATACAAGTACGAAGGCTGTCACGTGAGCAACTAGTCCAGAATCGTGCCTTCTTTGGCGGGAAAATTAGGTCAATTGACGGCCTTATTGACATGTGGCCATGAGCCTGTTTTGTTTATCGTCCCTTGGGCCCAAACGTGATGTTATCACGGCCTATGAGCCCTTTAGGAATGGAACTTTGTTATAGCCATCTATGTTGTTTTATGGAGGATTTGGGAATGCTCGACTGTGAGGCGAAGATGCTGTAACTTTCTCAACAAAAAAAAAGTTGCACGTGACCGTTCTCATCTCGTAGTTTTTTTTTTTTTAACGTTAGGCGTCTTCTTCGAACCGGATCGCGCCAGTAGCCTCGCCTCCGTTTGCTATTGCGAAGCTCCTGATAACCCAATGACTTGCCTCGCTTGTGCTACTACTACTACACAGTCACTCAGCTCTGCCTTTGGAAGGTTGAAACGCTCTCGCTCGGTGTGGCGCGGAAGCGTCCCTTAAAAGAATGCCAGGAACGTGGCAGTACTCATTAGACGAGTGATTTATGTGGCGTTAGCTATTCGGCAAGCACTGAGTAATTACAGGACATAAATACAGCACACTTGGTTGCTGTATTTCGCTGTGTCGCTGTACGTTCCGGCCAAGGTCCCAAGCCATCCGAAGTACACGGAAGCTGCCATCCCTGGCCAGTCAGGTACCGCCCCAGGAACGGTTTCTCGTTTTAACGCCTCGCTGAGCTCTATGGAATTCGTAAGTTTCTACTTTCAGTAGCCTTGAGCCAGCCCCGTCATTGGCCCGTCATTGTGCACGCCAACATGATTCTTTGCGATGGGCGGGCAAGCGCGGTTGGGACAGATAAGTCAAGACCACTCGGAACCGCACAGGCAAAAACAAACATTTCCACTATGCGGCGACTGGGACCTGTCGCATCTGTCATCACAGAACCATTTTACAACAACGACGCAATAGGGTAATACGGATGTGAGCATGCGTATCATTTCCGACGGATAGATCAGATTATGAATCGCATAATCCGAAAGGAGGCACCTGGCTTTTTGAGCACGTTGCTCCGTGTAGCAATGCCTTGGAATGGATGCCAAGACAAGACAACTTCTCATACATTACCTCCTGGTCCGTTTCGCTTCTTCTTGGGTGCAGAGGTTTTCTACATCCAATTTCTATGTTCCCGAATGCAGAACTCTAAACCCCGTCCGGACAATATAAGTCTGGGATTCGACTCCGCAATTCATCTAGGAAAAGTTGTGCAGTGAGTTTTCTACCTTGTGCCAAACTTGTTTCTCAGTATCGGAGCCGTCACCTAGCGCCAGGTGTCTAAGTCGTATTTCAGTCATGTTTGGACAGGGGCCTCGTACATTGCTGTTTTGATCGACGTTTCGTCACAGTTTAAAAGACTCAATGCATTACAATATCCGGCGAAGCATACCGTGCGCTGCCGTCTCCCTGTGGTCGTTTGCTACTCGAAAAAATATGCCGACCTCAGGTAACGTCGCCGTTATTTATTTTACAGTACTCCACGGACAACCCGGAGAAGTGCAAACTGGACGTACGACAGAAATTCGGCTCAACTTGGTGGTCCTGCTATGATGTCCGGACCTTGTACTTCCCGCTGCAGCCTTGATGGAAACGCACGGCTGGTAGCAAACTGTCGACGCGCCGCTTTATGAAATACCCATACCATAGCACGACTTGTCCAAGTGGAGGAAAGCCGGAAAAAGAAACAAGAAGCGAAGAAAATAATCAGGCCACTTTTTGATCGGGGCTGTAACCATCCCGACGTCTGGCGGCATCTAATAATAATCCTCCAGGTTAGCCCGAGCAGAGGCTTCTGATGGGATGGATACTCTTCGACGAAGGGCACACAGTGCGTGCCCTTGTTGATACTACATATCGCCTTGCCCCAAGACATGAAAACGAGCCCTGAATGGGGTGCGAACAGGAGCTTAAGTGTGCAAGTTGTGGCGTGTCATGACAGGAATTTAGATGTTCACATAAGGGCTCCATAAAGCTTCCCGAGCCTCAATACTATCAGTAAATCAGTGCGCTACACGTGGACTCTACCCTGGATAATCCATGGCGTAACCTCCCCGTCGGTCACACTTATCGTTGAGCGTCGGATAAAACGTACTTGAACATTGGATTTTTTATTTTTTTTTCAACATCAGGTCGAGCCAACGCCAGTCTAAAAAAAGATAGTGTCTGAGGAGATTCAACCACGGCACAGCAGGTTTGGGATGAAAGGCGCTACTCTGTTCGTATGTCATCTCAACAAATGTAACTGGGCACATGTTGGACACATGGCACTGGGACTGGAACACTGCAAAGAATATACGAATTTCGTTCAAGCATGTAATATACAGATATGGATAGAACATGTGTAGGTTCAGCATCTTACAAACCGTGAATAACAAAAGCAGAAAAATAAACAAGCTACTGAAGACCGACTATCTATCCGTCTCCCAAGCTGAGGTCGTTACCAGGACTGAGTCGTTGGCGGGTGTTCATATTTAGGCTATTCTAGGTATCTCCAGCACTACACAAACGCGCAAACTATCCGAGTGATACAGAAAATCATCGCAGATCAGGCCCAACTGCTCGACGGCACGAAGTCGTTGTCAGAGGCACTCAAGCAAAACAGGAGCAGAGCTTCGGAGAGGGCCAGTTAATGGCCAGAGAATGTAAGGGTAGAGATTGTAACAATCGGCACGAGCACACGTCGAGGCGTCGTACTGGTCCACTACTCTATGTTTTCCGATCTCAGGACCATCAAAGAAGACAAGTCTCTGATAGCGACACAATTTCTAGTAAATAAAATGGTAACAATGAGCCGTCTCATATCGAAGTACCCTAGCAGAAGACCATCGAAATAGCTCTTGCAAGCCGGATATGGCATTTCCCTTAACCAGCATTTTGTTTCTTGAAAGTTTCGCCAAGGGGATTGCCGCTGGGACCGAGCCACCAAGTTTCTTCAAACTTGCCCAGGCGGTCTGTTGCATGGTTTTAGCAAGCACACGAAGGTCATTGTTAAAGAGTGTTCCATCAGTTCTCTTCCATGCCTACCTCTGCGGCACCACATTGCTCCGTACAAGTGGCACTCTATTGCGCAAAAACGTGCCCTATTGTTTCGGCATGAAAGCCTCTTCTTCACATCAAGAAAAGAGCGCGGAGCCAAATGTTCATCACGGCTAACACATCGTGTAAACGATGGCTGTAGACTCCGAATGTCCGTCCGTCATGTCGGTCATTGCGCATCGCATCGTGCCGAGCAAACGGCAGAACAAGCCAAAGGCCGAGACGAGAACATCCATTCTCATCGATCTGAGAGGGAGACACCCATCCGCCAAGCGCCCATCATGTTCGCGCAAGCCCAGAGATTTCCCTGAGCATCATAATGTGCGCATCTGCCAAGACGAGCGAACACAAAAGAACTCACTGCCGTCATTTCGAGCCCCGAAGTGACGCAAAAAGGCCGAAGGTCCTACCCTCTGGTCTGGAAATGCAGCGTTCATGGCACCCCCGTCACAACTAGCCATTGCTGAGAAGGAAGAGACGATGGTGCTGGCGGCTGGCCTGTGCCCTTTCCACCCGACGGAAAATATTGGTTTACGTCGGTATCGCTCTCGTTGCATGTCTCTTACAGGATCTGTTTCGTGATGCTGCGTGGTGCCTGTCCATTGACAGCTCGTTGCGTGCGTTGACAGGGGCTCCAGGGGTACTTTGTTTCTTCTGCCATCAAAGCGGTGTATGTAGGTACCCCCATGTTGTCAAGTACCTCCTTCCTTCCCAGAAAGTCAGGCAGGGGCTTGAGGCCATTTCCACTCCTTGGCCCGTGTTGTCCTCATTTGTGGAGATGTTGTTTCGTTAACGTGCTCGTTCGCACCTTCCAGCGCCAAGACGGCCCCGAATTACCTGCGCTAACGCAGAGCCTCTAAAAACAAATCAAATCTAACGGCGTCTTTGGCCAACGACGTTTGTCTTCGCTCCGTATGATTTTATCTGTATCCAATTCTGTGCCCAGTTACCTTAATCTTCCAATTCAAAGCGCGACATTCGCGTAGCCTTTTCAACGACGGCCTCGTCGCCCAAGAGTAGGCTCTAGCGAGGATACCCAGCGGCACAGCGCATTGTCTTGTCTACCACTGATGACTGTTGAGCGCATCTCTAGCAAAAGAAAAAACATCAGTGAGAAGAGGCACTGTGAGCGCAATTTCACCCTCCAAAAACCATATGCTGGGGAGTGTAAGAAATATCATCCATTCCTCATCTGAATCGACCGTCTGAAATCATTTGATAGCTGGGCGCGTGGGTGGCACCGTTCTCGAGATGACATGAGGCAGGCTGCAGGTTGACGAGTTGGGGGGCGAGGGAGCTTTTCAGCTACTCAAACTCCCATATCGACCAGTCCTCGGAGTGTCCAGTTGTACGCATCTGTGGAAGATACAAGATGCCGTCCCTTTTATCAGACTACCTGCGCGAGCTGACCGAACACTGGCCACTTGACCTTACATTAGGCGTCTTGCAAAGCCTGTGCGTCGAATAATTCTTGCCAGGGTAGATGAGAAGGGGAGCAAACGCTGACCGGCAAAAAAGAGTTTAAGAAGGTGTTCAGACAAGACATGTGGCCCCAAAATAGGTTCTTGTCCCCATTCCGTCCTGTCGTGGTCCTGCGACAGGCACTTCCTCAAATGCGGTTTCAACCTCCCAATGCGGCCGCGGGATCTACATTTCCTATGCCCTGGGCTCGCCGTCAACCGTTTGTGTCCTCTGCCACCCATCGCCCACGCTTTTCCCTGTGTCTTTGCCCCTGTTCTGCGTCTCTCGGTTTCTACACCCTCTCAAACACACCCTTCACTTGCTACTTCCGGCTGCTGAGAATAGCTAAGAGTCACTTTTCTCCCCCGAGGCTTTGCGTCCGTCATGTTGGAGATCCCCACGTCCATCAAGGCTCTGATGCCGCATTGCCAAGAGACATAAGTAGTCCGGCGTAGCCACCTTTTTGAGAAGCCAAGCCTTCTCTCGTTTCTTTCTTTTCTTCGTCTCTTTATAATATAAGCCCTTCCATCCCCAGAGCGCGGTATTTTGTTGGCACTGTTTTCTCCTTCTTTTCTTCTCTTTTCTTGTCTCTGTCCTCTCTTTTATCTGCTTCTTGTTCAGCCTTGCCAGTCAAGAGAAGATCACGTTGACCGTGGATCTCATTTCACTTACACTCTTTTAACAAGGACAGTTTAATTCGTTTTCCACTTGGGACAGGACAGGTTGCCGCTCCTTTTTTTATATTTTACTTGCCTTTTTATTCTCTTTCCAGCCGACAATCAACAACGTCAGACAAAATGGTTTCTGCGAAGCTAGTCTACGCGGCAACGCTGCTCACTCTGGCCCTTGCGGCTCAGAACGACAACAACGGCGGTGGAAACAATGCTGTAGCCAACGCCGGCGCCCAAACCAACAACGCCAAGCAGGGCCAACAGAACAACGGTGGCAGCGGTGCCAACGCCAATGCGAACAACGGAGGTAACAACGGAGGTAACAACGGTGCCAAAGCCAACAACGCCGGCAACAACACCGGCAACAACAACAACAATGCCAACGCCAAAGACGGTGGTAACAACAGCGCCAATGCAAACACGGCAGCTGCCGCGAAGAGCACCGCTACTGCTTCCGCAGACGCCAGTGCTAGCTCTGCTGCTGCAAATGCGAACAACAACAACAACAACAACAACAACAACAACAACAACAACAACAACAATAACAACGCGGCCACCAACACAAACAACAACGGCGCTGACAGCACTACTCTACAGCCCAATGCTATTCAGTCCGGCTCGTTCTTTGATGGTCAGAATGGCCTGGGTGCCGAAAGTGGTCAGGCTGCATCAGGCACCTCGCAGAACAACTTCATCAACTTCTGTGCAGGCCAGACCTTGACCAATGGTCTCCAAATCACCACGGGATCCTGCAACGGCATTGGTATGTGTTCCATGTTTGTCTGTCGTGAAATATTCCATGGAATGCGAAAGGTACGCCAAGTAATCTAACAATCGCAAACAGTTATGGGCCAGATTCCGGCAAAGAACCAGATGATCTCAACGGTCATCACATTCCCCCAGAACGGCCAGACAATCCAAGCCGGCCAGGACTTCAACATCACTCTGCAGGTCAACAACCTGCAAGCTGGTGCCTTTACCAATGCCGATGCTACTTACTACTCTGCTCCTCAGCAGCTGCAGAACGGCATTGTCGTCGGCCATACGCATGTTACCGTCCAGGATATCGGCAACAGCCTGAACCCCTCGACGCCGCCTGACCCGACCCAGTTTGCGTTTTTCAAGGGCATCAACGATGCCGGAAACGGCAAGGGTGGCCTTGCTGCCGTCGTTGCTGGTGGTCTTCCCGCTGGTAACTTCCGCGTCTGCACTCTTACGTCGTCCGCAAACCATCAGCCTGTGATCATGCCCGTTGCCCAGCGCGGATCCCAAGATGACTGCACCAAGTTCACAGTTTCTGGCAATGGCGGCAGCACCAACGTTGCTGCTAATAATGGTGACAAGGGCAAGGCCGCTGCTGATCTTGCCCAGTCCGCTGTCAACCTTGGCGCCGGTGCTCTGACTGCCACCGCTGACGCTGCCAAAGGTGCCGCAACTGCCGCTGCTGGTAACAACAACAACGCCAACAACGCCAACAACGCCAACAATGGCAACAATGGCAACAAGAACAACAACAACAACAACAATGGAGGCAAGAACGCCAAGCGCCTGGCTCGTTTTTCTCGCCGGACATTCGTCGCCTAAAGCAAGAACCGTGGCATAACAGGAATGGACTCCCAATACTCTTTTGGGGCATATGAACTTTGTATATGTCTAAAACGTTTCTGGGTGTTTCGCCCCAATCTTTTTTTTTCTTGTTTTAGATGTGCACAGGACGGTTTATTGCTGTTCTCTCAAGTGAGAAAATAGTATTTAAAAAGGACTATTTTTTGTGTGTGAATCTTTCCTCGATTTTGGATTTGCCGTTTCCGCATGTCTTATCGTTTGCCTACCTTTTTTGTTATTTATCTTTCCGTTGTATGCTAATGCGGCAGCTCTGCTCCCGACAGTTTTAGTCGGTAAGAAGCGTGTCAGTACCTGCAGCGAAATTTTGATTCTTATTTTTTTGACTTTTTGGGGTTCACTACACCTTAGTACCATCGACGTGAGGTCGGTATATTGGTGAAGCCAAGAACGGTAGCCTCTTAGTAACATAATCGGCTGTGAAAGGATGGTGAATACGCAGTCTGTGGGCGTTGAAAAATATTGAAAATATAAATATGAACGCTTCTGCCTTTTTCCTTTACACGAAAAGATAACGGAACAAAACATGGAACGCACAAGAGTGATGCGACCAGAGGCCAAAAAGAATGGCAGAGTGGTGTCGAGGCATACATATCAAATACGAGCAGGTTTTGATGAGACGTTTGATCTTCCGTCTTCTGAAACACGTCTGCTTGCAAGTGTCCAAGGACCTGTCGGTGTGGTGGTTCGGGTGGAATCTTTGCCGTCTGAAACAAACCATGTCATATGTCCAACTTAAATTGACCGTGCATAAGGACCTGTATAGCACGGACATATTGGGCGGTACAACTATGTAAATAGTAGCTCGCTGCATAGCTTCCGTCTTTGGCACGCAAAAAACTTTTTTTATCTTGTGCAAGCGTATGACTGGGTTTTTCACTGTGGCGGTAATGGAAGTGTGCTGAATGTCTTGGTGCCATGTGGTACTGTACACTTAATATTGCATGGTTTGTTCCTTAGTTTCCTTTTTATTCTTGTTTTCTTTTTTCACGCACTCTCTTCAGTATTATTCCCATCGTAAAAAGAAAATAAAGGAAAAAGAAAAGGAAGTAAAATTATAACAATATAAGACCAGAAAAAAATAAGAAATAAACCAAAAGAAACATTTTCGGCTTGAGCTGGGAGAGGATTAGGCAGGGGCTGAAATCAGTCCTGATTATAAAAAAGAAGCGAACGGATTTATTCATGACAAAATTGAGAATAGTCGAGAAGAAGGGAGTCATGCTCTCGTTGAGTCTGGGTACTGTTAAAATGCCGCCGACACTTTGAGAGAGAAAAAGTCAATACAAACAACATTGACCAATGACAGGCCATTCTAGGAGGCTCCTCAATCGCTAACGGCTTACTAAGCTGCTATAGGGAGATTTTTTCCCTAGTGCTCAAAAATCGCCAACTCTCAACGTTGTCAGTTGTCGCGTACAACTGACAATCGGCTTCCGGCATCTTGGACGACGAAAACGACGACCGCAACCCTGGTCCTTTCGAACAGCTGCAGTCGGTATCCACGACATCCCTACTCTGCACACAACATGGCGACACATTTCGTCGCAGCTGCGAAAAAGACATTTCGCGAGCTGCACGGTATAGTCGTGTCGTCCGGTCTGATGCAGAAGACGGTCAAGGTCCGTGTCGGCGGCCAAGTATGGAACAAACGGGTTCAAAAGGTGCGTTGCAGCTGTGTTCTGTGCCCGCCCTCTCTCCTCTGGCTGGCCACGACTCTAATTGACTTAATCGTAGTTCTTCAACCGACCCGAAACATACCTGGTCCACGACCCCAACGACAGTCTCCGCACCGGCGATGCGGTCGCCATCTCACCCGGCTGGCGCATGTCAAAGAACAAGCGCCATGTAGTCAAGCGCATTATTGCGCCGGCACACGTCCCGATTGACGAGCGCCCACCGGTGCCGTCTGAGGAGCAGCGGTGGGAAGAAGCAATAGCAAAGCGCGCGGCAAAGAACGAGCGGCGATCTCTTATCAAGGCTGCCGAAGAGGCACGAAAGCTGGACGAAATCACTTCTCGGCGGACGCTGCGCAAGCTAGCAAAGAAGAAAGCGAAGGCCGAGGCCGCCGAGCAAGCAGTGACGGTTAAACAGGCAGAAGCCGAGATGCGGGGGGACACATCTTTATAAGGGCGCTTTTGGACCGGCACATACCGTTGACGGCAGCCATAGAGGAAGATGTAGCGAACTGTTGTAACAATACATTGCATAAGGGCGGGTATTGAAAGGGCTTGGAAATCCGGCCATACTTGAACATTAAACGTCTGGCCAGGAGGGACGATACCACGACCTTGATTTTTATGTACACATATTTCACATTTCTATTTACTGCCGAGGCCTATACTTCTCAATGTTACCAAACTTGCAACTTATCGAAAAAACCAGGAGAAAAAAACAGTCACCACCAGGTTTGCCGTGAGATAATACGCGCAACCGCAATAACACCCGCGAACAAAACCCCATAGCAGTGGGTTGATGACAACAAACGGAAGAAAGCCAAATAGACAAGGTGAAAAGCAACAAAACAGATAATAACAAAAACAAGAAGCAAAGAAATAGTTTCGGTAGCAAAGAGGCAAATACGTCAAGCCAGCGCAGGTATGCATGTGCGTATTGTATGAAATTGCAGAGTGTCTGTAAATAAATGCGCCGACTCAGCCACCACGCTCACCGTACTCACGCGCCCAGTCCTCGTATTCCTTGAGGCCCGACTTGCTCACACTTGGACGGATGGTCACCAGGCTTGATTCAAAGTCGGATATTTCCATACCCCGAATCTCATCCATTTTTGTCATCAAAAGCGCATCACCAAGAGAGCGTAGGGGACCCATGGCGGCATCCTTGGCCAACGCCGTGATATCCGAACCCGAGAAACCTAAACAAGGTAGTTAGCAATGCTTGTCATTAGACAGCGTGCACAGGCTTGCCATGCCGAGAAACTTACCGTCTGTCAGCTCCACAAGTCGTTGGATGTCCGGTTCCGTCAAGCTGTGCTTTTGTTGACCCAGAAGTGTACGAAGCTGGACCGCTCTTGTCTCGGTCTCGGGGAGCGGAATGTACTGGCGCCGCACAAAGCGCCGCCGGGCTGCTTCGTCAATGGCCCACGGTAAGTTGGTGGCCGCCAGAACGAGGACGCGGCTGGCGTCTCCCTTGCGGCTATCTTTGTCAGATGCATCCTTGTCTTCACGTCCGGCCGCGGCACGCTGGAGGTCGCTCCATTGGATTAAGAACTCGGTCTTAATGCGCCGTGTAGCCTCGTGCTCCCCGGAGCCAGATCGTTGAGAGAGAATGCTGTCAATCTCGTCGACAAAGATGATACTCGGTGCTAACATCTTGGCCAAGGAAAATAGAGCGCGAACTAACTTCTCCGACTCGCCTAGGTACTTGCTCGTAAGACTGCTTGCCGAGATAGAGAAAAACGTGGAGCGCGATTCGGTAGCTACAGCACGTGCCAGCATAGTTTTACCAGTACCAGGGGGTCCAAAAAGAAGCATGCCAGTGGCTGGTTCGCGAAGCCCCATGAACAGATCTGGACGCAGGAAGGGGTACACGACGACTTCTCGCAGTGCCTTTTTCGCTGGCTCTAGTCCCGCAATGTCGCTCCAATGGACAACGTCTCCTTGCACAACGATTTCATTGAGAATTTGCTTGGCGGCTTCGTCATCGACACCAGACGGGAGACTCTTCAGGATGGCCAGTTTGCGCTTCTTCCATGGCAATTTTGCCCAGTCCTCTTCACTGCCCTTGCTGTCGTTCCCGTCCAGCTTATCCGAATCATCGCTTGACGATGGTTCAAGCTGTACATCGGCCAGGAGGTGGGAGACTTCCTGCGCTTGTCTTGCGGGCGCCTTATCCTTCCTTGTTGCGGGCATTCGAGACGAAATTGACGGTGCAGAGGTTGCTGCCGCGCTTCTGTCTAATGACGGCGATGATGAAGATGCAGCCGTACTTGCAGCGTAGCTCGAGTGTACGTTTCGTCTGATTTCGATTCTGTTCCCTAATGCTGAGTGGTTCGTCGTGCCAGTGGAACCTGGAAGGCGCGTGTGGCCTGTCGACCTGGGTCTTGCAGACAGATCGTTTTCTCGCTCCAAGCTGGAGGACGCCGCACTTGCAACAGAAGGACGTTGGTTGGACGTAGACCGGTTCAGCCGGCCAGGTCGACCGCTGTCGGCAGTTACCTGCATTGACCGGCCCAAGGCACTAGCCGCGGCGTTCAAGGAGAGGGACTGTGGTTTAGCCGAGCCGGCGTACTCTCCGGACCGGCGGTTGTCGCCGGATAATGAAATAAGGTCGGCGCTGCTGTGGTTAGGCGACGCATCTGCGGGCTCGGGGATAGAACGTTGAGGAACAAGGCGTCTGGAATTGCTGTCCCACTGTAGTGCCGGCTTCAAGCTAGGTGAGGATTCGCGTACGGGTTTGCGGCTAGGCATTTGCAAGGATGAGGACGGCATGGATTGTGCCTTAGATGTCGAAATGTCGGCAGTGGATGAAGACGATTTTCGGGGGCTTTCGGATTTTCCGTACGACGAAAGTCCCAGTGCACTCCAGGCTAGGGTAGCAGCCTTGCTAGCACCCTGCCTCTCCGCCGTTTGTTTTGGTGCTGACCTGCCCATTCGTGACGTACGAGAGCTCTTCACCGGCGTGTCACTCGGCGTAGACCGAAGGGTCGGCCGCAAGGTATGTTGTCTGTCTTTGTTTGGTGACCGGGATGAGCGTTTTGATAGCGGTTGTCTGCTAGTATTAGAGGACTCCACGTCGTGATTGGCGTTCGTAGTTGTAAGTGAGTCAATTGGCGGCTGTGTGCCGTTGCTGCTGCTGCTGCTGCCGCCGGCGTCCTGCAAGGATGGGATAGGTGTTCCCGTCACTGCTCTTCCCGAATCATATGCTGTTGTTCGAGAACCAGACGGCGATATCCGGGGTGGCACCGGAGGAGCAGGACGGGACAGCTCTGGCCGGGACAGCTCGCTGTAGGTGATAGCGGGAATCGTGCCGCCGCCGATATAGCCGCTGTTGGTTGATGGGGATGTCTGGCTTGGACCCTCGCCGTAAGAACTGTAACCGCCGTAGCTATCGTAGCCAATGTTGTTACTCGTGCCACTGTTCCCGTTGTAGCCGCTGTTGTAATTGTTGTAGCTGCTGGAGCTGTTGTGGCCGTTTTGGCCGTTGACAGAGTTGTTAGAGTAAGACCTGGGCGGATCCTGAAAAGGGTCGGCACGTCGCGATTGCTTGAGTGCTTCCAACAAGTCGATCCGTTCCTGGGCCTGGTATTCCAGCTCTCGCAAGCTGGCTGACAGAGCCTTTTCTGTTTCAGTCAACGCCGCATATTCAGGGATATTGCCGTTGGCTTGCTGGTGCTGGATCTGTTGGACGGCAGCTTTCCAGCACCGCATAGCCTCCTCTTCGTTTCCCTAGAAGAGTCAGCAGGGAGTACTAAAGCCGACATATCGTGCTCGAAGGAAACCATCACGTACCTGTCCTTCATAGTAGACCGCGGTCGAGCATGTCAAGTAGCCCTCTTCATAGATCTTCTGCAGGCTGGACGCCGCGGTCCCGCTTTGCAGCATCTTGCTGCCCTGGCTGCTCCTAAAAGCATGTGATGTCGCCAGAAAGCCAAAATAATGCAGCCAAGGTGAGAATGGAATCACAGGCGACGGCGGACAAGTGCCGTGATGTATCGCGTGCCGTACAAGTTAATGGTTCAAAATTCGATTTTGGTGAGGGCCGCTGATTTTTCGAGGGAAAAAAACGTGACGAAGTGGAGCGATAGAATGCCAGCGAAACAACACTGACGGCAATTGAAAATTCGCAGATGCAATGGCAAGCAGAATGTGGCCGAGCCGTTTGGATGCGGCTGAGAGTCGAGGAAGGCGATAATGGAGAGAAGCAAAGGTTGGAGAAAGATTGCATGTAGATGGGCTTCTCCATGTGAGGTCAGTGAGTACTGAAATGTACTGAGTTGGGTCACATTTGTCCCTGTTCAGGAGTGTGTGGATGTGACCTACCGCTGGAAATGAGGGCACTCCCGCTGCTACGACACCACTGTGGCCGCTGAAGAGCGCTAATGCCCAGAAGAAGGCATTTGGCAAGGCTGGCTGAGTGTAGTAATTCTGTTTTGTGGGGCGGGCGCCTTCTCAGTCTCTAGGGAAGGCGGGGCATCAGTGACGTATTGTTTCTGATGTTTCGACATTAGCATCGGTAAGCAACTCGGTTACTAGCATAATAATGTACATGAGCGGTATTTTCGCGTGGTGGCCGGCCTCTAGGCAGACGAGAGTCGGCGAACTTGTGTACTGGCGCCGGTTTTGGTTCGATTGGGCGATTCCGATTGCGACCAAAATTTTGCCACGCTGGTAATTGACCAGCGGACTTTGTTTATTTGCTTATGTTCCGCGATTTGCGCTCTGTATGCTGCCATATTGAGGGCACGTCTCTTTTTTTAACTTATCTACCCAAACCATCAGAGGACATGCCAGCATGCCCTTGGAACGTCGATTCCCCCAATTCGTCTACATCATGATAGTAACACGCGTATCTCGAGTGTCGTCCGTGGAAACAGGTCACGCAGCGTTGTTTCAGGATTTTTTTCTGCGTTCCCATCCAACACCATCTCATCCGCAGCGTCGAGAATCGCCTCCACGTGTTCAAAATTGACGCAGAACTTTTCGGCAGCTTCTTCGGTCAGCTGTCGAGCCAGTCGAGGGTCTTGAAGTGGCTTCAGGTTCTCGACTGCGTCCATCAAGGCAGACGGCAGGAAGTCGTCAAGGCGTTGGCTCGCCAATGTAAGAGCCTGTGGTTGCAGCAAGTCGAGTTTGACTGCTTTTTGTAAATCGGTCTTGCTGTCGGGCGCGAGTGGTCCAAGGGCGCCGAAGAGAGCTTCCACGCCTGATTGTTCACAGAAGAATCCGTACTGGTTGTCGGCAAGCGCTGCCGCTTTGTTGTCAATGGCCGACTGCAGCTGTGAAACGCGGGTGCTGGTGAAATCGTATGTCGACAACGTCTCGCGGGCAGCTGATAGGCAATTGATCATGAATATCAGGCTGTCTACAGGCGACGCAGCCTTCGCAGCCATCTCTTCACAGCCGCTGAGGAAAGGGTCAAGGGCCTCAGTTAAAATGGGTGCGAAGCCCGACTCGCGGCTGTCGGGGGACGCCAGGGACGTATCGTAGGTTTTCATAATTGCGACAAGCTGTTCAAGGCTGTCTTGAAGGAACTCGGGCTGTGCCGAGTCGGACGGGGCGTGTGCGAACTCGCCGTGCAGCGTGGCCACGCGATCACGGACGAGCGAACGGAAGTGGCGCAAAGCTTCGGTTTCGAGGCCGCCCAGCGTTTCGACAAGACTTGAATCGCCACTGTCACCTTCCCTCCTGCCTTGTCCGCTGACACTGCCATTGGCGCCGCCCCCGTCGCCTCTGCTAAGGAGCTTCGCAAAGGTGAGGTAGTAAAAGTTCAAGAGATTGGCCAGTTTGAAAGCCAAGATAGTATCTTCGTTTGTCTGGATAACTTGTTGCGTACGCTGCCGCAGGAGACGAGCGACACCGGCCATGTCACGGTCAACTAGCTCGTTGAGGGCTTTGACCGGATCGAAAACGTCCGTACCCTCATCGCCCTCGTCATCCGCAAGATGCCACACTTCGTTTTCATGCCCTTCCTTGAGGCCACGGGCGAGCTCACCATCGGCCACAAACAATGACTCAAGCGCCTCGCGTTCACTAACCGTGGCCGAATGAGTCCAGGCCAGCATGTCACCAGCGTAGCGTAAAGGATCGTGGGCGGCCATCTCAATCGGCTTCACGCCGTGACGGCCACTGCTGTCGCTGTTCTTTTTACTGGACTCGTCGCTGCCTGTAAGTGCAACAAAAAATGCATCCGACAAGATACTCTCACGGGCCTCGGAAAACAAGTCAAGGCAGCTCTGGAACAGTGACGGTCGCTCGGCGAGGACACGCAACGCCCGGCTCATTGTTGCGCCAATCTGGTGGTTCTCAAGATTGAGGTTTTTGAATTCGCGCTGCACCCACTTGTAAAGCTTTTGGTAGCCGTTATTGATGTTCTTGGAAGTCTGTCCCATGATCTCGGAGCCGAGAGACTGGTTGCCCTCGAAACCAAGCAGCACCTCACAGTCCTTGAGAATCTTTTTGGCTTTCTTCAAAACGGCAAAAAAGGGGTCATCGACAGGCTCTACAGTCTGTGTCAAAACGGCAATTTCGTCTTCACTGAGCACGAAGTGGCTGACAAAAGCAGTGAGTAGCCGGCGCTGAGTCTCAATATTGCGGCGCTGACCGATCAGTGCAGACGCCTCTTCTAAGACGGGATCCGTTACACTGTGAGCAGAACTAATTTCTGTTTTCATTGCATCGTAAGTCTTGTTGAGTTTGTCAATGGTGCCTCCTATCCGGCGAAGTTGCTATTGCTTATTAGCTGGTTCTGACTTTGCTTCGTCGCATGATGTAAATAGAGGACGCCGAAGAGGCTATAAAAATACAAAATAATAAATTCATGGCACTCACCTCAGCCACGCGGCCAAACTCGGCAATCACCTCGCCATTGCTGTCGATGACTTCTTTCTGGATATCAAGTCGCATACGCCGCCGCGTTTCAGCAGTGTTGTGCACCCCCCGGTCGTCGAGCAGCGCTAATGAATCTCGGAAGTCTGCATTTGTATATGACGCCGACAAGACGCTGGTGACTTTTGATGTAAGAGGGTTGTTGAGCCCTTTCGCAAGGGAGGCTGACGGTATGCGCAGTGACAGAAGGTCCGTGGAGGCTGAGCCTCCCACAGTCGGAATGTTCAGGCTGTCTGGCAAGCCCAGTTCCAGCGGACGAGGTGGTCCCGATGCCATGTTCAATCGAGAGTAACGTATGGTAGGCACATTTCTAGATGGATATGCTCAGGAGGTGCAGACGACTCCGATGGCGCAGATCAGAAGAAGAGTAAGGAGGTCCTTTGTGAGTTCCTCTGCTTCTCGTTTGGTTTCGTCCCGAGGCTGGCTCTCCAGCCAGCTCTTAGGAATGTCGTGATAATTTGCCGCGTTATTTGTACGACGCTGACGACCCCTGATGCACTGCCGGTTGGGTTTATTTTACAACTTCTCCAGCAATTGGAGTGGTTCAAAGAGTCCAGGTGGCGCGTAAGTACCTGACGGATAGCTCTCCTGTGGAACCAACTCCTCACCGCCTGCCGCAACTAGTCTTGCAAGCAAACCGACGTCATTTCCTCAGCTGAGTCAGAAAGAAGGGGAGTCACGGGAATACATGTGACCAATTCACGTGACACGATATTTACGAGCTACGAGGATAAAACCAAGTGGACTTAGGCTTAGATTCCAAATACCTACACAATAATGCATCCATTTTTTGGTCATTCACTAAATTCACTGTCGAACGCGACAGCCCGGCGTTACATAATCTGCCATTGCTGGGTCATACCTGCTATCAGTCCTGTGCCACCTCCCAGCTGTGGAGGTAGCTAGGCTGATGTAGAGGGTCACTTGCCACATCGCAAACCAGCCTCGTCGTCTGCTCAAGGCAGCACACTCACTATACACATGACCAGCTTTATCGAGAGCTAATTTTCGAGGTTTAATCTTCCAAATTATCGAGGTGGTATCTCATCGGCGAACTATATAATCCACAATACACGTCTACCAAAGCTATCCCATTTGCTTCTGTCCCTAGCCAGAGCCTTTCGAGCATGCAGGCAAAGACTCCATCGAGCATCGGATGAGCTTGTCCCTGTGGCAGCTGCCCGCGATAACTGGTATCCACGTGCCCTCCAACGACACCTATTTCCCACAGGAAGCATTGCACAACGATGGCCTCCAATATTTTCTCTCGGCTTAACTCGACTACGGGCCGAGCCCGGCGCTCGTTTTATGAAAGCCTCCGATCTGGCGATGACGGTGGCCAGAACGAGGCCGAAACAGAAGGCCATGACGTTGAAGAGCGTGCGGAGCTAGCGCTTGATGAAGAGAACTTGAACGAGCAGTTTCAGGACTACGACCTAGAACACGCCGACGGCCTCGGGGCCGATGCTAGCCGGGCAACAATCGAGAGTGCCGCAGTCGGAACGATTGCTGGTGGCGCAGCTACATCAGCGGCAGCGGCGGCGGCAGCTTATTCGGAGGCGGGTACAGGGAAATGGTCTGCGGCGAATAGAGGGCGGCGCGGCCACGGAAACACCTCGCACTCTCGCTGGGGTGACGATGACGCAGACGACGACGACGTTCCCGATTCTCTACTCGTCGAACCACAAGGTCCCGGCGCCGATCCGTTCCCGCCAATGCTTAAAGCAACGCCTCTACGATTGCATCCGTCCGACCGCCGTTCTCGTGGGCCAGGCAGACCCATCCCAGGGCCTGCCACGAAGAAGATTCGCGCGCAGTGGGAAGCCACAAAGAAACATCAGCAACCATATGGAAACGACACAAACGGTGTTGGTGGCAGTTCGGGAGGAATGTACGGCGAGCTGCCCGGTCCCGTGAGTGGGAGGATGGCACAGGCTGCCGGCAGTCAACCAGGGAATGCGTTGTTGTCGTATTTCTTCTCGTCAGGTGGCCGCGGGCACCAAAAAAGCACAGCCTACGATCGAGCCATGTGGAGATGGGTCAACGTTTCGAATCTTGACAACTTTATACGCGATGTGTACGATTATTACCGCGACAGTGGTATTCGTTGTATTCTCCTTGCACGATTGCTGCATCTTGTGTATGTGTCCCAGCACATCTACATCCTGCTACGTTGTCTACACTTTCTTATCCAACACGTACAATTGCTAACTCGCTGCTAGTAATGTTGCTTTTGTGGCTGTTTTCCTTACGTTTTTGACGCAGTGCGTGGACTATTCAAAGATTCGTGGCAGCACACGGATGGACCAGATTTTGATACCGCATTGCACGAAAAATATGTCCTGGATTTGGAATTTTGGTCTGTGGCTGTTCGCCTTCTATTTCATTTGGAAAACAGTGCAGTTTTTTATCTTTGATGTCCGGCGATTGTTAAACCTACGCGACTTCTTTGAGCACCTGCTTCAAATCCCCGAGCACGACATGCAGACTGTGTCATGGCAAGACGTTGTGGTCAAAGTCATGGCGCTGCGAGACCAAAACCCAAAGACAGCGACGAATATGACGCGATTGCAGCGCGAATGGATCGGTAGCCAGTCCAAGGAGCGCCTCGACGCTCACGACATCGCGAACCGGCTGATGCGGCGAGAGAACTACCTAATTGCCCTCTTCAACAAAGATATCCTCGACCTGTCCGTTCCACTCCCGTTTCTGCGAAACAAGCAATTTTTGACACGAACGCTCGAGTGGACGTTGTGGTTTGGAGTTCTCGACTTCGTATTCGACGAGCGGGGCCAGGTCAACCAAGAGTTCCTCAAGTCCAATCGCCGCAGCCAGCTAAGCACCATGCTAAAGTCCCGATTTCTCTTTGCCGGCTTCATGAACCTTCTTTTAGCACCATTCGTCGCTTGCTACCTGGTTGTCGTTTACTTTCTGACTTACTATAATGTACGCCTTAACCCCCCCCCCCCCCTTCTTCTTCTTCTCTATGCCGTTTTCTTTTTTAAAACTTGAACTTGAACCTGGACATGCAGTAACTAGAATTTTCTGTAGGAATATCAAAAGAACCCTTCGGCACTCGGTGCACGAGCGTATACACCGCTGGCGGAATGGAAATTCCGCGAGTTCAACGAACTCGAACATCTTTTCGAGGAAAGGCTAAACATGTCGTATCCTTTTGCGACACGGTATCTAGACCAGTTCCCCAAGAGAAAGACAGAACAAGTGGCCAAGACTGTGGCCTTTATTGCAGGAGCCGTTATGACCGTTCTGGCCATTGCCTCGCTGGTTGACCCGGAGTTGTTTCTGGGGTTCGAGATCACGCACGATCGCACTGTCCTCTTTTATGTGGGTATTTTTGCCACGGTATGGGCAACTGCCCGTGGTATGATTACCGAAGACAATAGCGTGTTCGACCCTGAATATGCGCTGCGCAACGTTATCGAATATACACACTATGAACCTGACCACTGGAAGGGGCGGCTGCACAGTTTCGATGTGAAGGTCGAATTCTCCGAATTATACCAGATCAAGATCAAGATTTTCTTTGAGGAGATCCTGAGTATCTTCTTTACACCACTTATTCTGTTCACCAGTCTTCCTCGATCCAGCGACCAGATCATTGACTTTTTCCGCGAGTTTACAATTCATGTCGATGGACTAGGCTACGTCTGCTCGTTTGCTGTGTTTGATTTTAACAAGGGCATGGGGGCTAGCAACCCCAAACGCCAGGAGCAGCAATCGCTGCAGCCGGACCCTCTGGGTACAGGAGGCGGTGATGTCCGAGATGATTACTACTCCACTAAACACGGCAAGATGGCAGCTTCGTACTACGGGTTCTTGGACAACTACGTGATCAATCCGAAAACGGGTATCCCAGGTCATCACCCTCCTGGAGGAGGGCGCCATTATCACACTCAATTTTACCCACCCCCCGCTTTCCCTGGTCTGAACTCGCCAACACTTGCAGCCGATATGCAAAATTCCCGTATCCGACACAGGGGCTCGGGAACCACGGGAGCCGGTGGTGCCTTGCCTAGCGCTACGCATGCGTCACTCACACGCACGCCTCGCTTTGGCCCCTCATCTATGGCCCAGCCGTCCCCGATGGCATCCATATTGTTGGATCCGCACCACCAGCCATCGACGATTCCGTATGCAAATCGCAGCATGCATCGGCCGAGAATACCTGGCGGTGGTGTTGGCCGTTACAGCGCAGGTGGAACCGGCGAGAGCTACATTGTGGAGGAGCCGGCAATGGAAGACAGCCGCGTAGCGCCAGGCAGCGTGATCGGTGGCGGTGGTGGTGCGGGCCACCGGGACGGCGCATTCCGCGACAATGAGCCATTCCAGCCACCTCCACAAGCACAATCCAGCAGCGGAGAACTTCAAAGCGGACCCGGAATGCTGGATGAGTCGACTTGGCAAACATCGCCACCTACCGGGCTCTCGCGGGAGAACAGCGGGGTAGACGATGACGCCGACGTGGGCGTTTTGGGTCTCATGTATCAGTTCCAACAAGCACATCAGAACCATCGGATCCGATAATTAATCAAAGCTGGACTTGCGCCTTTCAACTTGTATTGAATTAATTGGTAGCCACCTGGTCCTTTTGGCTTTATCCATTGCATTTTCAGCTCTGGCATGGTACATGCCCTTGCTGGCTGGTGTTGCCTCAGTTAAAACATGAGTTGCACCTAATTGCTTATTTATTTTTACCACGATTTTACCCCGTGACATACCACAACTTGGACTGACTACACCGTGTTTTCGTGGTTTCGCGTTTCGCGTTTTGGGGTGTAATGCGAGGCTGTGACGGCCGGATTCGGACGGGCAGCCTTGTGCTTGGACTAGGACCCTAAGTGGCCGAACTAGTAAAAGCTGCTGGCCAGGCATACGCCAAGGTCGTGCTGCAAGACAGAAAGAACCGTGTAACTGGCGGTACTGTCACCGCATGACGAAAGAGGAAGCTCCGTCTCCGGACCGGGCCTTGTCCGATGTAAAGATATGAAGTAATTATGCACATCGTGCTCCGTCCTGTCCCGGGAGAGTAATAAGGACAGCCACAGCCCCTAAGTGTGCTAGTGTGGCGAATTAATACCTTGCCTGTCCCAGGGTCAGGGTGGTCTCGGCATGGTGGTCCCCGCGGCTTATGCTAGGCGCTGAAGCAAACACAGGTCCCTAAACTACAGCCTATTGCCAGCCAATCATGTAAGCTGCGTGATGTCCCCTAAGAACGCGCTGAACAGCTTGCGCAACGCGCAGTCCCAGCGAGCGTTCTACGGCCCCAGCTTGCCCCTCCAATGGCCGCTCTTTGACTTTTTCTCCGCCGTGCCTGAGCCTGCCTTTTCCCTGTTGAAACGAAGCCCGCCCTTTTCTTCAAGCCTTCTGCTTTGGTAATAGGTTTTTGCTGCATGCAAGCGTGATGTCTCTCGTTTTCACCGATGTCTCTGATCCTTCTCGTCTCCCCAACACAGAAAATTGCTCCTCTTAACGCTCTTTTTCTTTTTTTGCTATGACATTCTCCCTCGCACAGTTTTTCTAGGCTGCGTTTGTTTGTAACCCGATCCACATTCGTTTCTGCTAACTGTTTTCCCTCTTGCGTTTATTGTTTCGCGCTCTCGAAATTCCGTTTGTCCCAAGCACGCGAAGAGCCATCTGACAGATCCAGTCCCCTTGCATTCAACGCCGTTTCTATTTTGCCTCCGACAAAGTCTAGCAAGGCCTTCCTTCATAAACTCTCAACATTCGACCTCCGTGACCTACTCCTCCTACATCGACAGCCCTTCCTCCCAGCCGGTTCTCCTGCTGTGCCCGCTGGGCTTTACGGGTGCCGCTGACTGCGTGCGACCGACCGATCTTACCTAGCCTGGCTGGTGTGACTTCTCCGGCTGAACGAAAAACCTGGCGACGCAAACAGTGGTCCGGCTGTTGTCTCAACGTCCTGAAGCAGCAATGGCGGACCACTTTGGCAACGGAAGCGCGGAGCCCGCCACCGCCACCAATACTCTCAGCGAACCCGAAGAGGTGCTGCTGCCCAAGATCACCAGCGCTCTCGAGCTGATCTACAACCCCCAGTCCACGAACCAGGCTCGCCAGGAGGCTCAAAAGCACCTCGAAGTTGTCAAGGACGCTGTACAGGCGCCGTCCGTGGGCTTCACCCTTGCCGCCAACCCGTCGAACTCGTCGGTGGTCCGGCATTTCGGCTTGTCGATGCTTGAACACTCCATTAAGCACAAGTGGGCCCTCTTTTCAGCCGACCAGGCAGCCTGGATTCGCCGATGGGTGCTGCAGCTCGCAGAGAATGTGTCCCGAACCGATGCGTCGTACTTGCGCAACAAAATCGGTCTGCTGTGGGTCGAAGTGGCCAAACGGTCCTGGGCAGGAGAATGGATGGATATGGACACCCAGATGCTGAGCCTTTGGCAAGCCAAACAGGGAGGCGACAATGTCCACAGGGAGCTCGTCCTCTATATTTTGGAGACGCTGTCCGATGAGGTATTCAACGGCGACGATGCCGTCGTAGCGCTGCGCGAGGGTGTGCTGAGCAAATCCTGTGTGGATATTTTCACGCCTGCTGCCATTCTCAACGACTGTTTCCCGAACCGCGCCACTACGCCGAATGTCCGAGCCGGTGAAGAGGGTTGGCTGCTGCGCGTTACAGAATTGTTGAGTGTCTGCAACTCTGCTGATGTCCAGTCCAACGACGATGCCCGCTCGTGTGCCGTCCGCGCCCTTGCCGTCCTTACATCTCTCCTGCCCTGGGCAATCCCCAAGGCCGTCATCGCCTGCCAGTGTGTGCCAACACTGTGTGAGAGCTTAGCCGCACCGCACGTCTCTGTCCAGAAGGCCGCACTTGAGGTGTTTCATGCGCTTTACTCACGGAATCACTTCACCGAAGAGGAATTCGTCGCGTTGGTGGTACCAATGTACGACAGTAAATATGTCGACCTGTACCACCGCCTATTCGAATGGTCCAAGGTCGACGTCGAGGATATCGACGATGACAAATACCAGTTTGCCAAAAAGTTCTCTGAGGTAAACAAATTCTTGTTTTCAGCGTGCATTTGCACCCATGGTGTGTCATGCTAATGTGCTGTTTCTAGATGCTTTCGTGTCTCGGAAACTACCTGGATCGACGTTTCCACAACCTGCCAGCGGGCGTGGATGTTCAACGATTTGTCGAATTTCTTCTTGAAGTTGTCCAGAGTCAGAGCCTCGTGGTCTCCATCCCCGTGCTGGTGACATGGACGCGCCTACTTGCCCATCGGAATGTTGGACCTCTTATTGCAAACACGTCTCTCATCGGCCCTCTTCTTGAGGTCTGCAGCTCAAGACTTATCCGCTACGAGAGTCTACCGGAAGACACTCAAGATCCCTCGTACCTCTTTCTCCTCGAAGACACGGACACCATTCCTGAGCGCCATGCTTTTCTCGGTAACTACCGGCGATACAGCTCACAGATCATCGAGGCTATTGTGCAACTGAAACTACTTGACGCTTTCCACCACATATTCGCACAGGCTGAGAATGTCCTCCATCATCTGTATGAAGATGGCCAGGAGTTCAAAGGTATGCAATGTTTCCTGCCATTGTGCTTGCAAAATGGACTCCATTACTTCCAGACATGGCCAATTTCTAATCACACCTGCAGTCGCCAATTATAACAAGAACTCGATGCCAGTTCTACGCGTTGATGCACATTTTACTGTAGTCGAAGCCGCTTTAAAAGGCTATATGAAGTGGAGGTCTTCAACACATTCGAAGGACGACCCGGCCGAGGTAAGACATGATATTGAAGGCAAAACCTACCGATTTTCTGGCTTGTAGCTAATTGGTTCTCACAGAAACAACGGCAGCGTGAGGTTCTCGAGGCCGAGTTTGAGGCCTGGTGCAACCGCATAGCGGACCTGACGATCGAGGACCCTTGCATCCGAAAACGCATTTTGCAGCTGCTGGTCGCCTTCTCTATCACCGCTCTTGACAGCTACCCGAGTTTTATGCTCAAAGTTCTAGAGCACATCCTCTTGACATGGCCCAGCCCAAAGGAGCCAGAACACCGCGCTTTCAACGATGCAATCAAGGAGCTCCAGTCCGAAAGCATGGTAGAGCTACAACGCCTAGCCACGAAGCAGCCTGACCATCTATTGAGCGTGTACTACCAACTTGAAAGCAAGGTCAAAGAGCTGATCGCCTCCGGAACTCTTGATGAGAAACGGCAGGTTGCGTACCAAAGCTTTTTGTTCCTTATCCTTCACCGCACCAGCCAAATTGACCATACCACGCGTGTGCAAAGACTCCGGCCCTTTCTAGAGCCTGTGAAAGCACAGTGGCAAACACCAGAGCTAGAGCGTGCCTTATCGTCGTTTAGCAATTTTGCGGAACTGGTCGGGCTCGATAAGGCGCAACTATATATCGCACGCAACCGCGTCGACCAAGTGGCTGATTGGGGTTTAATTGAACTAGATGGAGAGGGGTTGGCACTACAGGCAGATCTTGAGCTGCGCCAAACGCTTTTGCCACTGCGGTCGACCAAGACGTTTCTGAACGCTTCTGTAGAGCGCATTGACCGTCACTCTGAGGCATTTCAAGCGTCTATTGTCTTGTGGCAAGACGCGGTGCCGCTAATTCTGACGAGGCTTCTAGAGTTTTTGGACTATGGCCATGCTTCACATAACCAAAGTAGCTGGACGCTGCTTCCAGAGGAGATGCGATCGTCAGTTGGTCGTCTCCTTACGGATAGATTTTGGCAATCCGGCATCTCTGAGGGAAGCAAAGACGACTTCTACGCACGAGTCATGAAGAGGAAAGGTACAATGGAAGGCCTTGCATCCTCCATTCGCTCCACTGTCCGCTACGTGCGAGAAACGGCCTACTCTATCCTCTGCAATCTCAGTCGGTTCAGTGTCCAGTTCTACAGTTTCGACGGCCTCCCAGAACCGCTTGCGCGAGCATTATTTGGCAACGCACTGTTCTTGCCTCCTCATCAGATTATCGGGCTGCTGAACCTAGTTCGATTCCTAGTGGACAACTGCCCTGTGGAGTTCCGCGGGCAGTTTCTACCGCCTTTGATTTCTTTGTGTTTCCAGCAGACATCATCCAAGCTGGTACAAGAATGGGGCCGGATTGACCAGCAGCAAGAGATCAAGACAGATGGCGACGGGCTTACCGAGGAGATGAAAGCCGAGAGTATTTTGCGGCAGTTCGGCTACTGTGCGGTGATCATGATGGCCGATTTCTTGGATCCTACGAGAGTGAACGGTAAGCAAGGTAGTACCTCTTCCAAGATGAACAGGAGTCAGAGGCGCTAACATTTTATGTACAGTCTTGTTGCAGCAAGATTCGTCTCCGGAGCCCGCCAACGCAGAGGCCAAATATCCGACTCTGCGGCGGTTTTGCCTTATGAATACAAGTCTGGTTGAGCCCCTGTTGGTGTTCTGCAATCACGCTATTCGCATCCACGATGGCCGTTGCTGCAGCATCGTGCTTCGCGTCCTACGGACCATCATCAGCGAATTTGTAGTGGTAGACCCTGGGTCGCCAGAATCTTTGCCTCCGCCTGCGCTCCCAGTGCCACCTACATCTGGGGATGACAACGCAAACGGCAGCCGAAACCGGACAGGGTCGACAACAGGAGCGCGTGCACCGGACCCATTCCCTGTACCAGCAGAGACATCGGCAGCAGTCCGCGAGTACCTTTCGTCTGAGGTTTTAAAGAGCTGCATTTTGTCGCTGCATGAACCATACTTTGTGGACCAACACCGAGAACTTGGCTCTCTGATTGCGTCCATATTGTGCCACTACTGCCCAATTACAGCAACACCACGGCAGGTGCTGTTATCACTACCGAACATGAAGGCGGGCGATGTGGACTTTGCCATTGAACAGATTTGCCGGGCAGGCATGCAAGCGCGTCAACAACGTGCACTGGTTTTGGATCTGCTCAAGGACCTGAAAGGCGTCAGCGTCGCTGAGATGGGTAAGCTCAGCAAGACAGGCGGGCTCAAACGCGACTCGTTCCGGCCTGCAACAAGAAAGTCAACCCAGCGCAGCAAGATGGCGCAGGAGTTCATGACGGCTCCGTCGACAACCGGCGGTGGCACGGCTTCCAACAACGAAGCCGGCTCACGAATGGGTGATGGCGGCCGTGGCAGTCCTGACCTAGAAGGGGTTGCAGGCCTCTTTAATGTGGCGGAATAAATAGTCACCACGACTTTTTCCGGGTTGTACAGGGACTGCCGTTTTAGCCATATGCTGTTGCAATTTTTCTCTATTTTATGTTTTGCTCTGTTTTCATTCCCGTTTCTTGCTATCTCGCGATGGATTTGATTCTTGGTTGATTTGTAGCCCTACTTTTCTTTTCTTTTTTTGTCTGTTTTCATGATGTGACTGCATATACCTACATATATGACTCTCTGGGGGGTTCGACGGAGTAGAAAAGGCAAAAGGCGGGGAGCGAGAAAACGATTTCGAAAAAGGAGGGCAGCGCAAAGCAAATGCTGTTCTTCACCTTTACAACGGTGGACATTATTTTACTGTGCGCGTTTGCACACATATATTGGGCAACGATAACAAAGTCGGACAAACATCACATGTCGTACAGATGCCAAAGACGGTAGTAAAATGTCGTGTTTTTGTGCCATTTGTACGACCACGAGCCGGGCTTGTTTTAACCAAATTCTATGCGGCTACTTTCATAGTTGTTTACATCACCTCGCGCGTCATGTGTTCTTGGATCGCACCAAAACGACTCTCGATCTGATAAATATTACGTTGTGACTGCAAATGTCCTCTCCTGCGATGTGTACTGTGCTTCTGTGGTCGTCGGTGTGCGACGTATTAAAAAGAGCTTGAAACTGCAACGCACCGAAACAAATCACACAAAGGGGCAATTGAAAACTACAGAGTGCGAGTTGAAATACGACGAAAACAGGGCAATAAAAGAAGGAAATGTCCGACATTTAACAACTCCCCGTGATAATTTCTCAAACAAACCGTGGTCGGCAATACATGGCCTGGCAAGGTCGCGGTCCCGAATCCATACGAGATTTGCGCCGTTTTCCCAGGAACGTTGCTCGCCAAACAGCACTCATGTCGTCATGGTCGTGCGATGTCCGACGCAACCGCCTTCGACTCCAACGAACCTGGCCATGGCCATGGCCACAAGTTAAAGGCCAATCTCGCCGCCGGAGAGGTAAAATAAATTTCCAACCCCCCAGCAGCAGGAAAAGTGTGCGCGTCGTTTCTTTTATGTAGCGTCCGGAACGCCAGTGTTGCAGATTGGTGCTTTGCCCTTCCTTTGGTGTGTTTCTCGGCTTGATACGAAACACGACTTTACAGTTTGGTTCATTCCGTGTACTTCGTGCGACGTACGGAGTAGGTCAGAGTATTGTTGCCAATCAATATTTTCCTTTTGCCCGTTATTCCCCAATGCATGCCTCCCTAATGCCCATGTCCAATCTCCAGCAAATACCACAGCCGATCTGCGTCTCGCTTCCACATTAACACATCACATCAACAAACTTACTAGACGTAAAGATGCTTGATGCATTAAGCTAAATGCATTCTCCGCCTGTGGACGCACCGAGTGCTTTGTCTTCAAGATACAAAGGCGTGCCAACTTTCACAGCCAGTCAGCGGCGGTCCCTTGTCGATACCTCGAGCGTGGTGCGTCGTAGATGCCGTGGCAGTGCTGTCCATCGCGTTTCAGACGATCGTCACCTTCTTTCGTTGTGATCCGGGTTTGTGCCTTTCCATTGATAGTGCTCGGCCGAAAGTCAGGGAGTGGCGGTGTGCTGTGTATGTACCGAGTAATTTTGAGTGAATGGAGATAGGAGGGCGCTTCTTGCGTCGCTCCTTCCCCTGTCGCCTTTATTCCTGAGCAAGCTCCCTCGAGTACCTTAGTCCGTCCATCTCGCTTCAACCTGCTCTTTCCTCTGCTACCAATATCCATCCCCAGATCGCCGTCGCACATGGCCTCCATCTTCTTCTCGATGCAATTGATGGCCAACTGATCCTACATCCCACCCCACAGCAGCCAGGCCAAGAGACCTTGAAACCTTAAATCCACCAACTGTCCGGGCCCCAATCTGTTGGCCCGGTCGACGGCGAGCTAGTTACACGTCTCGCGAGAGTCTCCACCCCAGCGTCTCGTTTGCTCCTCCCACCACCAATGCAACGCTTTTATGGCCCAATATCTTACGTCCCGGCAATGCTTGACTTGGTGGCCCTCCCTGCCTGCGACGACAAGGCCTGCGACGACAAGGCCACGCGCCTCGCAGCCAGCATCTGCCCTGTGATTGCAGCCATCTGAGCGAGCCACTTTGGCGTCCTCCCCCTCACCCGCTAATTACCAGATCCGTTCTAGACATGGTATTGCGCAGGGAGGATCTGCGATCTATTTCCGCTGCAGCTAGCCAAAACCTCAAATCGTCAACGGCTTTGTTCTTCGCATACTTAAACTTTCAACCCTTTTTTTCTGTCAACTTATCGGCCTGCCCACTCATCCAATCGCAACTCAAAATCCTCACCGCGCGGCTTTAGTTGCTCCGCCACTCCACCACCAGCCTGCCATTGACCCCATCTCGATACTCCATCGGATCTGTCCAAGATGGTCTTCTCGGGGAAACCGTCGACGGGCTGCCAGATGTGCCGAACACGACGGATCAAGGTAAGGCTCATGCTCGTACCTGCATACTGTGGGTGGCGGGCCCGTCGTGGCTTGTTTCTCCTCTTCCACTTTGGCGTGCCATGCTGTACGGCTCGGCACTTGGTCCCTCGATACCGTGCTGCACGTCACCTGTGTCCTACTGTCCTACCTACCGTCCTGCCTGCCGTCCCTTTGATTCGTCTACGTGCTGCCGCCTGCATTCTATCTTGCGGCCACGCGGTACCTGTCCGCTATCAAGAGAACACTCTCTAACCCTGTGTACAACTACAGTGTGACGAGGCAAAGCCTGCATGTAACCAATGCATCCGCACCAACCGCACTTGTCCAGGCTATAAGAGCAAGATTGACTTGCTCTTCCGGAACGAGACCGAGGCTAGTGCGGCCGAGAAACGAGCACGCACCACTGCCCGGAAAAAGGCAGCTGCCACCCTACGCAGTCGCCAGGCTGGGCGTGTCGCGCATCAGACTCTGGAAACGGCCAGCTTCAGCGGCTCCGTCACCCTGCCCGCGCATACCGGCTCCGGTCGCGCCAGGAGCACAGATAGTGACAGCCCGGATGACAGCCTCGCCAAGGTCTCACTTCGGTTCGTCGCAGCACATGGCCGCAGAGGCAACATGGCTAGCTACGGCAGCGGCTTCGGAGCAAGCCAGAATGGTAACAGTGCAGACAGCACGAGCAGCTACTCGTCCGGGAGCAGCCGTTATTATTATGGGTCCATCGTACCGGCTCTGCCAGTACCACCCGATCAGCTGGCCGTCTGCCACTTCTACTCCAATTTTGTGCTCGTCCCATTCCAGGGTACCGGTCGAGGCTACATGGACTTCCTCGTTCCTATGATGAAGGATGCCGAGAGCCCGACATCGTTGTATGCATCCATTGGCACAAAGGAAGCGGCAGCCCTCAGTGGTGCCTCCGATGAGGCCAGCCCCTCAATCTCGGGGACCGCAGCACCTGTATCTTTTTCAAGCAAAGAAGCCCGCGCCGCCCTCTCAATTGCATTTCGCGCTTGTGCCCTTGCTTCCATGGGCACACGCGTCGCCTCCAACGGCTTCGCATTTGCCGACAAAGCACTGTCAGCCTATACGCGAGCGTTGGCTGCCACTCACCTCGCACTGCGTGATCCGGCGCTCTCACGCGCAGATAACACTCTTGGTGCAGTCTTATTGCTCAGCTTATTTGAGGTACGTAGGCGCCCTCCACCAGTCATTCGCTCCTAATCATTGTCGATTTTATATGTTGACGTGCCTCAGAGCATCACCGCAAAGCACATGGGCTTGTTCGCATGGGGCTCCCATATTGAAGGTGCTGTTGAAATTGTGAAAGCCCGGAACTTGGGTCAGCGTAAGACTCGGTCGGGTCTATCCCTGTTCATAGCTGTGCGTACGCAAATGGTAAGAGACTGCAAGACAAGCACGTGCCTCATATACTGGCTTGAAGACCGCATTTTAACACATATTGCAGATTATTCATTGTCTTGCCTCCGGCAAGGCGCCTGACATGGATGTTGATTGGTGGATGGCTGATGCTGTCGCCGACTCCGCCGCTGGCGCCTGCCAGCGGCTCAGTATTCGAACCGCCGCTCTGCGGTCTCGGGCTGCTGATCTCATGGCTACGTCCTCCGACCGCTCTCCCGAAAATGTTGCCCGCATTATGGCCCTCGCGCAAGAAGCATACAGCCTCGATCGTGACTGCGTTGCTTGGCAAGCCAATGTCCCCGTCGAGTGGCGGTACCACACCGTTGCCTGGCAAGACAAGCTCCCCGAAGGCGGCGACTACGGGCGGGCCGAGGTGTTTCCAGGGAAGATTGACGTCTACCGTGATATTTATATTGCCAGTGTATGGAATATGGTTCGTGCCACCCGCCTTTGCCTGGCTTCGATCGGCGTGCGCTGTGCTGCTTGGGCCTGCGCCCCAGCAGATTATCGCACAACGTCTCAATACGCCACTGCAGCACGCATGTGCAGTGACATCATCACGGATATAATTGCATCTGTGCCGTTTTATCTAGGCTGGCATAAAAGTCAGGACTTTCATTCGTCGTCAGCTTCACCGGATCACAGGCACCACTCCAAAGGACCCCCCAGTGCTACCCAGTCGACCGATGGCAGTACGGAAGGGGATTCTGATAACGAGTACACCCCCTCCCTGGGCTTTGTCTGCGGTGACGATTCCAGTCTCAAAGGCCTCGCTGGCTACTTTCTGGCCTGGCCGCTGACCAACATTAACAGCCAGGACTACACGACGGACAACCAGCGCGCCTGGGTCATTGGACGGCTGAAGCACATTAGCAATGAGCTTGGCGTGCGATACGCAGGTTTCCTAGCCGAGGTAAGCTGTGCAGGCGTGTTTCGTTACAAGTGGAAAACCATGATATGTAGTGATGAATACCAGATGCTAACATGTTTCCTTGTTTGAAGCTCAGATTCCGTGTCCCGTCAATGTTGATCCGCCGTGACCGGGTCATGTCGCAACATCAACATCTCGAATCACTGCACAACATGCAGGCCTTCCTATCGGCGACGTCGGGCGTATCGCCACCCGGTGTATCGATGGCGTCTACAGTAGGCCCGGGATCATTATCTAGCCCTAACTCTGACACAAGTTCAGTAACGATCCCAGGGGTGGTCTCGAATGCAGGTCCTTCGACACCGACACCCTCCACCACCAAGCAAGCATTGAATCCACTCCAACAATGGGAAGCTCTTCAGAAGCAATCACTAGACGCGGATCGAAAAGAACTCGTCGAAAAGGCATCTGGAGGTTCGGGGCCGTACGGTACGTATGTCGCTCATAACATTTTACATGTGTAGGAGCAAACGCGAATGACAAGGTTGCTTTATAAAGGGGCCTCATTGGAGATGGGCATCATGTAAAATAGCATCCTATTTAGGAACAGATAGGACCTGGGTGGGGATGTATACTTGTACAAAATACGCTTTGAGCATGCAGAAGTACGGGAGATTGCAAAATGCAGTATCATAGCATTTTAATATAATTAAATGCAAATCAACCCAAAAGGGTAGGTTGAAAATGCACAAGATTATGCAAAACCACAGCCGTTGTTGATTACCTGAAGCTTGTCGCAAGAAAGAGATGTATAGCAATGAAATTGAAAGCAAGAACCAAAACATCTACACATTCACGCACAAAGGCGGATCCGAACCCGGCTAGAAATTCATGACAGACGCCCCTCTGACCTTGGCCAGAAATCCCAGGACCTCGTACTAAGGTAATCTCAAGTCTCAAATGGCGCAACTCGCTGTCGTCGCTCGCTTGCAAGTGTCGGTGCATCTCGAGATGTGTCGCGTCAATGGCGGCAGGTCGCATGCTGGGTGGTATCCCCATGGCCGAGCCGTGCTACTGCTGACATCATCGCGCAACCTATTTTGATTTTGAGTTGTGCCTGTCCGGTTAGATGGTGCTCCCATAAACTGCGAAAACGACAGTTGCCAAAGCACATACCTCTTGCGCTGCTCGTCCAAGCCGATGTTGTTCGCGTGTTGGTTCCACACGTCCACGAACACCTTCTGAGTCGCATCCACATACTTCTCGTTCTTCACCTCCTTGACGTTAACACGCATGCCATCCTTGGTGAAGGTGATGTTCTTGTTGCCAATGTTCTTGGTCGCTTGCGCCTGGATCTTGTTCACGCTTAGGTAGATCTGGTAGCCGACAAAGGCGAGGCCGCCGATAACCATGAAGAGGACAACCAGGGGCACGAGCTGCCTAGAAAGAGGGTCAATTGTGCGATCATCACAAAGCAACAACAAAGCAAAATGGAAAGCCAACGGCTGCATTTGCAATCAGTGGCTTGCATTGGCTGCAACAAGACCTTGCATGTGCAAGCGAATCGACGTGTCTTACCCGATCAATGAGCGGCCAGACATGGTCTCTTGTCTGTTGTCGCGTGGTAGGGGGTTACCGTGGGGGGTTAAGGCGAGATAGGGATCGTGCTTGGTCTTGACAAGATTGAAGAAGAACGAAAAGCGATGGAACACAGAAAATGCACAGGAAGAAAAATAAATGGGCCCTGTCGATAAACCTTTGCGCAAAGGAAGAAGAGGTTGCAGTGGCGCAAACGGCGTGCGCCTTAAGAAGAAAGGAAAGCGGGCACAAGACGAAGCACGAAAGGGTAAGACGAAAGAAATAACCTATCGGCGATCGCTGTCGAACTCATTGGTCACGAAACAGTATCGGAGGCCCTTTTCTAGTTGTCAGCTCCTGAGTACATTTTCCTCTATACAACACTCAAATCAAAGTGGGTCTGGCCTAGAGACGACAGGAAAAGACCCTGTGGCGTGCAGTGTTAGCGCAGAGTGCCCGCAGCCCAAATTAGGCTGGTCAGGCACGCCAGGGCATTGGATTTCGGTGAATCGAGCTTCGGCTTGGGCCAGCTCCAGTCGCTTGTGGACCTATAATTGTAGGGGGTCATGATCTGGATGGTAAGAGTCTTGTATTCTTTAACTACTACTACCACTCGTGGCGATACTAAGGATAGTTTCAAAATGTGGTGATGATATTGGCCGTCAGGTAATTGTTGTTATTCTTAGCTATCTGTATTTCGTATAATCTTCGTTACGCGTTGCCTAACATATTATTATTTATCAGGGTCCCCATTTATATTCGCGGGTCTGGCCAATCACAGAGGGCTAGGTCTCGCCCCACTTGTTGTGGCATCAACATTCCTGAAATGATCACATGACCTATTTTAGTCAGTTTCAGTCACGTGATCCGAGTTTTTTGTTGTACGATTATGGGACGTCCGTAGCATAGCTACAAAGCAACAAGTGGGTATATAATTTAGTGCAGAGCTCTTGAGAGGACAGGTGGTGGCCCGCTTGCCAGCCGCCAATGATGCGAATCAATGGAAAGGTGTCGGTGTCGCCCTCCCACCTTTGCCTCCTCTCCTGTGTATTCCCCTCCACATTTTCCGCACGCCACGAAGCAGTCACCTCCTTCGCCTGGCGACAGCATCTTCTCATCGCCGCTTTCCGGTGCCGACCCTTAGTTCGCTCGAAAGGCCACCTTTTGTATTTTGAGGTGCGTTCGCTGCTGCCTGAGCTTCCTTTCCTATCTCTCTTGCCGTCATCTGTTTGGCAGCATTTTCTGCGTTCCTCTCGCCTCCCTTTTCTCACAGCAATATCGAATTTCAGCAAGCTCCTACCTTTCCCGCGCTGGCCTATCCGTTTCGTCTCATAGACGTTTCTCGCCGTGTCTGTCTCTTGCCTTCGATATCACGCCTCAATTGACGCCTCGACACCGTCCATCCCCACACTGACACCAGCCATGTCTGCCCCTTACGGTCAGCAGTATGGCGGTCAGCCATCACCGTATGGCGACCAACAGAGCTTTCAAGACCAGCAGCAGCTGCTTCCCGAGGGTCATGCTCCGCCACCGGCTGGTGCGCCCATTCACGAGACGGGCAAGAAGAAGAAGAGAGCTTATGCTGCCGATGCCTTCAGTGTTGGCACCGCCGGCAATACCTCCGCTGGCGGTCAGGCGCCACCACCCAGTCAGTACGGCGCTCCCGTCCAGCCTGCTGGCGCTCCTGCATACGGCAGCTACGGCGCCCAGGCAACCCCTGATGTCCAGGATGTGCAGTATGGCCACCCTCAGCAGGTTGGCATCGGTGCGTCCGGCGGAGCCGCGGGTGCCCCCGCGGCTGGCGGCTACGGATATCCCGATTATGGCTACTCAGGTGCAAACGCAGGCATGCCTGGTGCTGGTGGTGTTGATGCAGTGACGGCTGGTGTTGCCAACATGGGCATCACAGGCGCCGGTCAGCCACCCACCCCGCACCAGCCGCCGCATCAGCAAGTACCAGCGCACCAGGGCCAGCCGCCGCGTACTGGTCCCCTCAATCAGCTGTATCCGACCGACCTCATGAGCCAACCCTTCAATGTGTCTGAGCTGGACCTCCCACCGCCGCCCATCATGTTGCCCCCTAACGTAAGAACTCTTTTTGTTTACCCCCCTTCCATCCGTTGATCCCACCTTGTAGAGCACCTTCGGGATGGTGGCGGGCTTTGCAGGTTGATGCTAACAAATTTGTCTTCCCCTTTCGCTAGAGCAGCGTCACTCCCTCGCCGGACGCCAACTGCCCGTCTAAATACGTCCGGTCCACAATCAATGCCGTCCCCACGAACCATTCGCTCCTGAAAAAGTCCAAACTACCTTTTGCCCTCATTATTCAGCCTTATGCGTCCTTGCACGACCTCGACGACGACGTCCCTGTTGTGCAGGACCAGGTTATTTCGCGCTGCCGGAGATGCCGCTCGTACATCAATCCCTTTGTGACCTTTGTTGACCATGGCCACCGCTGGCGCTGCAACATGTGCAACCTGACCAACGACGTCCCCCAGGCCTTCGACTGGGATGCGGCTTCGCAGAAGAGCGTCGACCGCTGGCAGCGCCACGAGCTGAACCATGCCGTCGTCGAGTTTGTTGCGCCGCAGGAGTACATGGTACGCCCGCCGCAGCCACTGGTCTACCTGTTTCTCTTTGATGTCAGCTACGCCGCCGTATCAACAGGTCTCCTTGCCACCAGCGCCCGTACCATTCTCGACAGCCTCAACAGAATACCAAATGCCGATGGTCGTACGCGCCTAGGCTTTATCGCTGTCGACTCCTCCCTGCACTACTTTGCCATCCCGCGCGATTCGAAGCCCGCCGCCAAGGAAGAGGGCGAGGAGGATGACGGTGCCAATGGGGACGATGACGAGAACAATGGTGCTGGCGAAACAAGCATGCTCGTAGTCAGCGACCTGGATGAGCCGTTCATGCCCGTGCCCCAAGAACTACTGGTGCCGCTGACCAGCTCGCGCCAGAGCATCGAACTGTTCCTCACGAAGCTGCCGGGCATGTTTGCCAACAACCAGAACAACGGGTCCAGCATGGGATCCGCCCTGCGTGCGGGCCACAAGCTCATCTCCCCTCTGGGCGGCAAGATGGTTGTCCTCAGCTCGTCGCTGCCAAACATGGGCACCGGCAAGCTGGAGATGCGCGAGGACAAGAAAATGCTGGGCACGTCCAAGGAGGGCGCGCTCCTACAAACAGCCAATAGCTTCTACAAGAGCTTTGCCGTAGAGTGCTCCAAGAACCAGGTCTCCGTCGATATGTTCCTCTTCTCGTCACAGTACCAGGACGTGGCGTCGCTCAGCAATTTGCCGCGGTACACTGGCGGCCAGACATGGTTCTACCCTGGCTGGAATGCCGGTCGGCCCGAGGATGCCATCAAGTTTGCCACGGAGTTTAGTGACTACTTATCGTCGGAGATTGGTCTTGAGGCCGTGCTGCGCGTTCGCGCGACCACGGGCCTCCGCATGAGCTCCTTTTACGGCAATTTCTTCAACCGCAGTTCCGATTTGTGCGCCTTCCCCGCCTTCCCGCGTGACCAGTGCTACGTGGTTGAGGTCGCTATTGATGAAACACTCCAGAAGAATGTCGTGTGTCTCCAGACAGCAGTTTTGCACACGACCTGCAACGGCGAGCGCCGCATCCGTGTCCTGACATTGGCCCTTCCTACGACACTCAGCCTGGCCGACGTGTATGGATCGGCCGACCAGGCAGCCGTGACGGCATACTTCAGCCACAAGGCCGTCGAGCGTGCACTGGACGGCGGCCTAGACGCGGCCCGCGACAGCCTGCAGAACAAGCTGACGGAGCTGCTGCAGACGTTCCGCAAGGAACTGGCAGGCGGCAGCATGGGTGGCGGCCTGCAGTTCCCGGCCAACCTGCGGGGCCTGCCAGCACTGTTCCTGGGCCTAATCAAGAACGTCGGCCTGCGCAAGTCGGCTCAGATCCCTTCGGATCTGCGATCTGCAGCGCTGTGCCAGCTTTCGACGCTCCCCGTACCGCTGCTGCTGCAGTTTATCTACCCCCGCCTGTATTCGCTGCACGATATGCCAGACAATGCCGGGGTGCCGGACCCCGAGACTAGCCAGATCGTGTTGCCGCCGCCGCTCAACTTGTCCTCGGAGCGCTTTGTTCCGTATGGCCTGTACTTGATCGACGATGGGCAGACGCAGTTCCTGTGGGTTGGCCGCGACACCGTGCCGCAGCTTCTTGTTGACGTGTTTGGCGTGACGGACCGGACACAGCTGCATGTGGGCAAGACCTCTCTACCAGAGCTGGACAACGACTTTAACGAACGGGTGCGGGCAGTGGTGCAAAAGAGCCGGGATCTCAAGTCGCGGGGCGTCGGCAGCATTACAGTGCCGCACCTGTACGTGGTCCGCGAAGACGGCGAGCCGAGCCTGAAGCTTTGGGCGCAGACACTGCTGGTGGAGGACCGGGCGGACCACAGCATGAGCTTCCAGCAGTGGATGGGCAACTTGCGGGAGAAGGTGAGTACCTAGCAGGCACGAGTCTGCACTTGTGTATTTTGTTTTGATACGTTTCCCTTCACTCGCACGGCAGCTAACATCTCTCGTATAGGTCGTCCAGTAATTACGAGGCAGACAGGAGAACAGGCTGTTGGGAACATATTGGTAGCTGCTGTTGCTGTTATATTTTGTTTATGCAGTTTTATTTATTTCCTGCGCTTCTGCCTCTTTTTCTTTTCTCTTTTTTTTCATCTCTCACACTCTCTTGCTCGCTTGTCTTTCTCTGCGCGTGTACTTTAGAAAACAAGTTGAATTTGGAGCGAATTTGTATGCAGAACACATAACAAAGAACCGCGACGAGCAGTGCGGACGTGAGCAATAACGAAATGAAAAAAAAAAAAAACACAGATATTGGAGAGTATTTCAGGGCTGTACGTGTTGTTGCGGGAGTTGTGGTAGAAGCACATAGATTTTCTTGAAAGAGTTACAAAAGCAATCACCGTTTGATAACCCCAAAGGGCGTCTCCAGGTCCACGATCTATGTCACCCTTATCACGGCCGGG